GTGGGGCAGCCGTTGTAACTATACTTCAGACCTTAGAATTTATATCACAAGGTGGGTGGCGCATTTACGTCCACTTAGCACCAGGTGGGCTGTGAGCTCTTCCATCCATGTAAGCAACAAAAAAAAATAAAAAAAAATATGTCTATATTAAATTAGTACCACCATTAAGCATATTCAAATGTTTAAATTTTATTACATTTTTGCCATTGATATGTTCTGGGTAAAGTAGATATCTCCATTCATGCCATTCAATGCCAGTCAAGTGCCAGAAAATTCAGATTTTAATTTAACACATTTTAGCTAATCAAGTTTGTAATCATCATTTTGGTAAGGCATAATTGAAAAACTATATATTACCACACATACATACAACAATAAAACCTACAGTCTACCCTCTTTTTTATACTATAATCTATTTTTGCTCAATCATGGTCAGGATGACAATTTTGTCCCTAAAAGAACATACCTTGTTTATGTTTTCCAATTTAGTTTTGTAGCCTATTAATTCTTTTTGTTGCTATTAAATAATTTCTAAAATTTACTTCAAATATTAAATTAATAGTATGTGTATCAATAAATACTCACCAGACGCAGTAAATATTCTGATATCAACATATTCATAGCTTGGTAAGTGAGTTCAAGTCTTTGTGCAAAGTGTTTTTGGCATTCTAGAGGAGTACCTGTTTAAAAAATAATAATATATTAAATTAATGAGTTTTTAAAACACAATTATAAAATGAATTTTTTTGCAAAATTTCTTTGTGGTTATCATAATTAAATTGTTTATTGAAATTACCAGAATGCGTGAGACTACTTATTTCTTCAACAATAATACTGTGCGCTTTCGGTAAAATTTAAAGGAAATACTTAGCTTACAGACTGGAAAGAATTAATTACCATCCAAGTCAGAATTCACTGATATAAAAATTATAATTTAAAAGGTCTCTTAGCAAACTCTTTTTTTCTCATCTCTATTGTCAATGTTACCCATTTTGCAATATTTTGTATTATTTTTCAAACCAAGTTGCAGTTTATGGACCCTTGTTATTGTTGTTGAAATGAAGCTTGCTTAACAGGTAGATCTTATGAGCAGTTTAGCTGTTAGGGATACTTAATGTAGTAGATATGTATTAGGACTTTTAAATCAGTTCCATTACTTCCAAATTTTACCCCAATCATACAACAATTTTTGCCTGTGGACCTTAGTAGTTACTAAATATTAATATAGCTCTGACTTTTATTTCAATTTACACAGAAGTAAGAGGATAAATAAAAATTGGCTAATGTATTAACTTTGTGATAAGCTGTCTATAAGTTTGTTTACATTCAGCGGTCTTCAGCACGTAAAACAATAAAACAAATACGACTTACCTGTTCGTGCACATTTTAAAACGTCGACAATGTGCCCGCGAAGATAAGCTCTTAAATCATTTATTACTCCATTTCTTTCAAATAAATTGTACATGAACTTTTGAAAATTTTCCGCTGAATCGCTTTGCTTTGTTTCATTTTGTTCTTCAATCGAAGCTCTATCAACATTTAAATTGAACTCTTCCATTTTTATCGGTTAATTCATTTGTGAAGTTATGCGTTAATGTTCATTAAAACTTGTGTGCATGTTAAGAATTTTATTGTGAATTTTAAAAACATGGTTCACTCATCCCCGTAATTTCAAAGTTCCCAAACAGATTTCTGACGTTTGTTGACTATTTCCGACGTTCCCTGCAGCAATACAAAACAATTTCCGGTTAAAAGCTCTATTAATATTAAAGTTTGAAACATATACCGCAAGTTTGAATTTTATAAAAAAACTCATAATTTTTGAATGGTAAATATGATTGATGTATTAAATAATATATTAAAATGTATGTAGCCAGTAAATTTAAAATTATTATAGTTAGAGATACAGTATTTCAACCCATCTCATAACAGTCCCTGTGGCGCAGAGGATAGCGCGTTGGACTTCTAATCCAAAGGTCGTGGGTTCGATCCCCACCAGGGATGCGCATCTCTTTTGGCATTGTTTTTTTTTTGAAAATGATTTTTGTTTTGTGGTCATCAAAAGTTTCATTTTAATTTAAATATGCTATTATTCCATTATTATTCTTAGAAAAGAGTTTCGGTTAAACACTATTTCCTTTGATTGGCGTATTGTGAACCGTCAGAATTTAAGGGCGAGCCCGTCAGCATCGTGTAAAACCTTTAAACCTAAAAATGCGAGCTTATCTTTCTTTCTGTCCTCTTTGGTCAAAGCTTAGACACCGTAAGCTATTTTTCAGATTATTAAATGAGCAAAATCGGAACTTTTTGAAACTAAAATAAACAGTTTCTTTTTGTCATCCTAATGAAAACGATTTATTTAGTTCCCATTAAAAAACCTTCAAAAATTACAAAATATTAATTATTTAATGACATGAAAGATGATTAACTAATTGATTGATTGATATAAAAATAGAAAACTCTTTAAAAATAATTATGGTTTACTATGGCATATTAAGTACATTTTACCTCTTCACGTGCACTTATGCATAATTATGTATGTTTTTTGGCTACGAAAATGTAGGTTTCGCTTGCATTATATATCGATAATATCTTTACTAACAGGAAGTGACCGCAATTTCGTTCTTCTCCTCGGAACCAGGGCACCTGCTGACTACAATTTGTTCTACGTTCATCACATACTCATTAACTCCATGGTTCATCATCAATCAACTTTTTTTTTTAAGTTTTTGGTATTAGGTTGTACGCCCAATCAGTACCATAAGCTGCAGAGTATTCCAATGTATTTAACCCTCTTAGCGCTGAGCTTGTTTTCAAATATTTTGCAGAAATTGCCAAAGATTTTTTTTGAAAAAAGTAATAAAAAAAATATAAAAAACCAACGGAAATTCACAGCAAAATAATTTTAATAAATTTATCTTATAATATATAATAAATAAATATATATATAATATTTTTATAATTTTAATTTTTTTACTTTTAATTCTAAATGTTATTAACTTTTTTAAAACGTTATACCTACATGCGCGCGGTAAGACACGTCCGTCCTAATAGCTATATTCAAACTGCGCAAATAGTATTCCGACACTTTTTACGCATTAATAGAGAGTCGATCTATCGACGGTTCGCACTCAAAGGGTTAATTAATAATTTGTTACATATATTGAGGCACGTCATACCATATTCAGAAGTAGGTTTTTGATCGATTGTTTTCTATAGCTCACCGCCGCGCCGGCTTATTGGGCGAGGGAAGTGGGAATTCTCATACATCAAAATGAGAATGCCTCCATTCACTATATGACCGAAGCCTATTGTATAATGGTTTCAAATGGAAACGCATGACTGCGTTAAGGCGAAAATATGTAGGAATCTATTGCTTTCTCGTACGTGATCACAGTAATTCCTAAGAGCAAAAATTTCCAAATTTTTTTTCTCAATAGATCTCCCGAGGAGACAGTACACTGGTCCCCAGAAGTGCGAATATGCGCACAGTTCTTGCGATGCTGGCCGTCAATGTCTGTTGCAGAAACATAACGTAATGCTAGTTCTAGAGCTAAGTAATCCTTTAACGAAGATTTCGTTGTCATTGTTGTCCTTGTATGTTCAAAGTTTCAGTCGGTTAATATGATCTAGAAATAAGTGCTAATTAACTATCATCATCAGCCTATAGCATTCCACTGCTGGACATAGGCCTCTCCAATTGTTCGCCACTGAGCACGACCCTCGGCTTCTCTCATCCAGTTCCTGCCAGCCACCCTGCTCCACCGAGCCTGAGGGCGTCATGCACTGCGTTTTCCAAGTCGCGGTCTCCACTCAAGAACGCGTTTACCCCAAACGGTTATCGGTTGTCCGGCTAATATGGCCAGCCCATTGCCACTTCAGCTTACTAATTCGCTGTGCTATGTCTATAACTTGTGTTCTCTGTCGGATCACCTCGTTCCGGGTTCGATCTTTCAGAGAAACTCCAAGCTAATTAACTTATTTCTACCATTTATTAATATAATCTAAGTTATGTTACTGTTTGTTATTTTAAATTATGTTTTACAATGGTAGGTAGCAATCGTGTATAAAAACAATATTTAAATTTTGTATTGAGGTATTGTTTATATTGCATAGGTAATAAATAATGAATGATAATGAAGTGGGTCTTTTTGAATATTCAATTTCTTTTGTTTTATGTGCTATGTAATGACTGTATGTTATACTTAAATAAATTGACAAAGAATTGAATAATATTTTCGAGTCTCATTTGAACTGACACGGTGTGTTTTATTTATCATCGTGAACACGTTTCACAAGCAGATACGTACTTGCTTAGAAAAAATGCTATTCGGTTGCAGGACTTGAGTCTCATTATAATCACATCACTGCATATACATCTTCAATCAAAAAATGATGGTATACACAGCAGAGGTTCAGCACTTAATGACTAGGTATTGCTTTTATTTTTCGGTTACGTGGCTTTCATGAACCAACTAGTTTCACTTGATTCTCTAGCAAAGAGGACCATTCAGATTGTTAACCATTTCGATTACCTGTTACTTGTGTTAAAGAAAAAATAAATAAAAAAAAGTCATTGCTTGTGACTTTTTGGGGGGAACGCGAGGAGCGAAGTTGTGTGAATTGTTTTATTTTGTCTCTTTAGTGTTTCACAAATGTGGGAAAACGAAACAAAGCTGCTGAACGTAGCTCCTCGGGATCCTCCAAAAAGTCCACTGAAAAAGTCTCAGTACATAACCATCATTTTGCCGAGATTATATTTCATCCCATATCATCTCATTTCATTTAATTTCATGCCAATTGGTTATTGTTTCAAATTAATCAACTTCATTTAGTTTATACAATTTTGTAGTTTGTGTTTCATTTAAAAAGATTGGTCTGTAGGGTATGACATCTTTGCCTTTCCACTTAGAAAATAGAACTACTACTGGGTCATTGCTTGTCACATCTGACATTATTTACATTTTATATGTTAGAAGGTTCAAAATTCAGCTTACAGTAATAAATTATTACATGTACTTAAATTAATTCTTAATAGAGTACTATTAGCAACGTAATAATACACTTTAATACAATACAACCAAAAATGCGACGCCGCGCAGGTGTAGGTGCAATCCAAAAACACAGATTGGAACAAGAGAAATATAAAGAAAAGGGCACAGAAATACAAGAAAACCAATTCCAGCAGATGTCGAAACAACTGGAAGTGTTTAGGGAAAATTTGGAAGATTTTGCATCAAAACACAAGAGTGAAATAAAGAAGAATGCTCAGTTCAGAAGGCAATTTCAGGAAATGTGTGCTGCCATCGGTGTGGATCCACTGGCTTCGGGGAAAGGATTCTGGTCTGTTCTTGGTAAGGGCTTTATTGAAGATAATTATTTTTAGAACATAAGTATGTACTTTCATCATACTCAATCTCACAACCATTTGGTGGTGGCAGTAGAGTCTTAGCCTGCACAGGATGGTTCCATTAATAACTTATCTTTGCTCTCAAGCATTTGACCACGGGATTTGCACCTTTTTACGTCTGGGATGCAGTGTGCTTGTCTGTCTGTTGTGTTAATATAAATATGTGCTAAAATAAAACAAAAAAAATATTTTTTCAGATTACACAAGTTGTAGATATCATCTAAGCTGCTTTTACTAAACTATCAAGTATTTGAAACATTGGTAATAACATAATCGCAATAAAAACTACTGAAAAAACTTCAAAAGCTGTTTAAATCCTAAACATAAAAAAATCATTGTTGCACTAAGTCTGTATTTCAAGTCTTTGGTTTAATATATTGCTGGAAAATAAAAACCAAGCCTGTTTTTCACTGCTCAATATATCATTAATAATTATGAAGATTTAATTTTCCTCATAGCATTGACAATGCTGTTTAAACAAGAATGAAAAAAAAAGAACGGTGAAGTGAAATGTTTAATATTTGATGAAATTGAATACCTTGATATTATTGAACATTCTTATTTTATAGGTATTGGTGATTTTTACTATGAGCTAGGAGTGCAAATAGTAGAGGTGTGCTTGGCTACCAACTACAAGAATGGAGGTCTCATAACTTTAGAGGAATTACGTTCCAGACTTATAGCTTCTCGTGGCCGAGCAAAGAAGCATCAAGACATCACAAATGAAGATCTGCTAGCGGCAGTGAAAAAACTAAGGATATTTGGAAATGGGTATAAACTTTGTATTTTTATATTTATATTATATTTAAAAGTGTGATTGCAATGCACTGTTTTATTGAGCCTGAACAAGAACACCTATGGACTATAAATACATAATTAGTGCCTTACTTTCTTGACCAGTTTTACTATTTTGTGTATAATTGTTGTATCTAACACCAAGTACAAGCCAATTACGTACAATTTACAATTAATTGATATACTAAAACAATAATGATTGGACTTGGGACGATGTCAGTACTGAAGTGATGCCAGTGGGCCCTGGTCTATTTTTGTGGTGGTTCCTACCCATGAAGACTCACAAGAGGCCCTACCACCAGTGATCAGCCACACTTGTCTAAATGATATAGNAATTGTTGTATCTAACACCAAGTACAAGCCAATTACGTACAATTTACAATTAATTGATATACTAAAACAATAATGATTGGACTTGGGACGATGTCAGTACTGAAGTGATGCCAGTGGGCCCTGGTCTATTTTTGTGGTGGTTCCTACCCATGAAGACTCACAAGAGGCCCTACCACCAGTGATCAGCCACACTTGTCTAAATGATATAGTGATCTATGTAGTATGGATGACTAATTTGTAGTCACATATGCCATTAGTTGTTAATTACGAAATCGTAAATCAGTAAAATGCATTTAGGGTATGTGATAAGCCTTAGTGGTTGCTATGGTGAAATCAAGTAAAAATATGTAATCTTATTAAAATTGTTTCCTGTGTGCTATGACATGCCCTTCTTCAAACGAGGCTTGTGGAGGGTACTTCACAGTAGGCAGCAGCTTGGCTCTGCCTCTGACATTGCTGAAGTCCATGAGCGACGGTAACCACTCACCATCAGTCGGGCCGTATACTAGTCTGCCTACAAGGGCAATAAAAACATAAATAAAAAAAGTTTTAAAAGACTTGAGATTCATAAAATTATATAGTGCTTAGAACATGATCTTACAAATTTTTATACCCACACAATTCTCACATTATTTCTAGGTTTACTGTAGTTCCGATCAGTAAAGGCAAATGGCTGGTTCAATCGGTGCCTGGTGAATTAAACATGGATCAAACACTAGTTCTTCAGAAGGCCAGTGGACTTGGAACAGCGTGGGTCTCTGTTAGTGTTCTCACTAGCGACCTCGGGTGAGTTTATAGTAATTTTAAACATTATAACCATTAATGGGTAGGCACTGTATTGGTTTTATTTACATAGTAAACCAACATTTGTATGCTCAATATTATTCTATCATGTACCATTTCCCTAAAACCCACATTATCTAACACTGTATTCTAATTTTTGTTGTTAATGAGCCATTTTGCCAAATTGGTGGCATGATTCTGCCTATTTTAGCTCTGATGCTCAGATAAAAATATTTCTATGCTAAATATGCGTGCATTTAGAAATTTGTTTCCAGTTAGCAGTTTCAGTACCAACCATTACCATAATAATATATTAACATCAGATCAGACATGAGCTGAAATCTTCAGCCAATAAAGAACTAATTATATCTGGGTTGTCTTTTAGTTAATGACTTTTTCTATTGTACCACAGAATCCTTATTTGATTCCTTGTTGAGTCAGTAATTATATTTATAGTTTCTATGTGTGTGTATGTTCTTGTGTTGTGCATGTGCACGTGGTGCATGTGGTACAAAAATATAATATCAGAACTCAGCTATTTTTAACTGATCTTTTTTTTAATAAGTTTTTGTACCCTCTTGCTCTTTGCTGAATAAAAAAACCTTCAAAACTGATTTAAATTTTGCTTACTTTTCAGTTGGACTGAAATCAGAGCCGAGAATGCTTTGAACCATATGGTGAGAGAAGGTCTCGCCTGGGTGGACTCGCAGGAACCGAAAGAGACGTTGTACTGGTTCCCTAGCATGTTTGCAGAATGCGTANTTTTTTTAATAAGTTTTTGTACCCTCTTGCTCTTTGCTGAATAAAAAAACCTTCAAAACTGATTTAAATTTTGCTTACTTTTCAGTTGGACTGAAATCAGAGCCGAGAATGCTTTGAACCATATGGTGAGAGAAGGTCTCGCCTGGGTGGACTCGCAGGAACCGAAAGAGACGTTGTACTGGTTCCCTAGCATGTTTGCAGAATGCGTATCAGCATGAACTATAAGCCTATGTGATATATGTATGTAATTCTGTAAATTAATATAAAATTTATTTTTGTACATGAAAAATAAAAAATTATAATCGTTTTAAGTCGTTTATTATTGCACTGATTACATTTAATAAAATATTGTAAATACATTTTTCACTTAAAATAAAATAACATAATAGTGAGTGCCTATTTTATTTTAGCATGTGTGCAATCATAACAAAAATATAAGTGCTCTCCCTAATAATATTTGTAGATTTATACCATTCTGCTAACGACCAATGTATTGCCAACGACCATGATTGATGGCAGTAGTCTATTTACCAGACACGGTTTCCAGTTTGAAGGTAGGACAACTATTATTGTTATTGTGACTTCAATCTCCTATCAAAGCCTTAGTGGTAATAAATAAAAATAACGCTATGCGATTAAATATTTTTTCAAGCCGCAAGTATATTTTTTTTTTCAGTCAACCATCTTATTTGATTTTACATGACAATTGGCAGACAGCTGTTATAATCTGGAAATTTTAGGCTGTAGAGCATGTCAAAGACATACATAAGCTCAAGAAACATTACCTCCTTTAGGTAGACTAGACCAGACCGAAATACTAGGTCAAATACTAGACTAATCCACAGTAGAGTCGGTCGGTTTAAAATTTTAAATTACAACAAAAAATCAGGTGCGATTTCATACAGTATGTAACAAATAAATTGCATATTAGCTCAATTTCCGTAAAATATTCGTATCAGCTCTCCGTACTATCGTCGTGAATTAATCCTGAATTTGGAAGTTTCAGTTGCATTCGCAATTCGCTGTTCTCGTTTTCTAAATCGTTCAATTGCTTCTTGAGTTTCTCGGTCATTTCCACGTAAGACTCTTTCCACCTAAAAATATTATTACATAACCTAAAATTTTGTTTTTGCTTATTTAAATGACCTGTGTATTTGTGCGAGTTTTTTAACGTTCTCGATAGTGAAAAAGTTAAGCAATAATAAAACAAGACCACGCTATATTAAACATTACTTAATAAAAGCAAAACCTTAACTGTCCTCTTCACACTCATAAGCTAGATCGCGCGAGAGAGAGATGGGCAGATTTTTCATGATGCGCATGCAGTGTGACGTCACGCCACGCGCTTATTCACAAACACTACACAAGCGCAAAGTGTGAATGTGTTGAACGCGAGCTACATGGTAGGCGGAGTGAGGGGTGTTAGGTTTTTTTTTGTTACGGAATTTCATGATTTGGTCGCCGCGCTCAAGATCCGCTATAAAAGCTATGCAATAGCTTAAAAAAAACAGTTTTGGAAAACGTATAGCTTTGAAGTTTTGAAAAAAAAACACTTACTTTTTACTGAGCTCCATTTGATTTTCTAAATGCTTATTCAGTTCGTTCAATTCGTCTTCTTTGGTTGAAATTATCCTGAAATAAAACATTTTGTGACAAATATAATTATTATTATAGGTTCATCGAGAAGCAAAAATTAGTTCCAGTATTCCAGCCTAAGTGGTACGATAGCCTTTATTTCAATGCAATAAGTGGAGGTATGACATTCTTTTTTAGCGTAGTTAACTGGAAGAGTTCATTTAATCTTAAATGATTGCCAGAAACCATAGACACCAAAATGAACCTAGATACAAGAAGACGAAGTGTATTTTGTTTCTCTATATTGAGATTTCATATCGCTTGACTGTTTTGCAGCAGAAATAGGCATAATGATGATAAGCTACCCGTGCGGGCTTATACTAATACGTCCAACCACAAGTCGATTACGGTTAGATTTCGATACCTACTACTAGAGGTCCTACTGGTGGTAGGACCTACTGGTGGTAGGACCTCTTGTGAGTCTGCACGGGTAGGTACCACCACCCTGCCTATTTCTGCTGTGAAGCAGTAATGCGTTTCGGTTTGAAAGGTGGGGCAGTCCGTGAACTATACTGAGACCTTAGAACCCATATTATTATCTCAAGGTGGGTGGCGGCATTGTCGCTAGAACGACCGACTCAGTACTTCAATGGGGTCAACAAAAAATTAATACTTTTGGCTGAGTTCCGCTCTAGAGGACATCATTGCTTGAAGCTTATTCACCATTTCGTGTGTTTCATTGAGGGACTTTTGAGAGTTTTCCAATTGCAATCTGTAAAAGAATCATCATATGAAAATCGAGTTTTTCTCAACACTACTATTTTAATCGATTTTATAATTCACTTCGCGAGGCAGCCTAATCGATATTGAATGTAGAAGAAAACGAATGTAGAAAGTGATGAATATTATGTATTCCAGCTGCAATACGCAATTTCTATTCTTAGGTTTCACTGCGATTTAAGATAGCTGTATTCGTAAACGTCACATGAAGAAATGTCACGTTCATCCATCTTACTGGAGTTACATGGCTGAAGACCAAAACGTGGGTACATTGTATAAGCAACAGGTGAAAGGCCTATTATATATGTTTTCACGTCTCGTGAGGATAACTGATTTTTAATTTTTATTTATTTAAAATTTCGTAAAAGCCAATTACAAGCTTTCACGAATACCGAAATATCTATTGCCGTACCGTAACCAGATAAACATTCATATACTTAATCAATTGTGAACATTTTAATTTTTGTGTTTATTTGATTCTTTTATTTTTTAGTGGATTTTGCACAATGTAGGTTCCAGTAACCGCAAAATGATTAGGTATACGTTCCGAATTAAAAGGGTGGGTCACTCGTTATACAATACAATAGAGATTTTGATCTATCCTCTCAATCCACGTTCACTTGTCTAGAGTAATAAAAAATAACGTGAAGTAACTAAATTACATTTAGAATACTGCTTATGAACAAACACAACGCACGTGAGCTCTTCGCAGCGATTCTTCAACAATTTTTCTTCCCAATCTCTACGCTTCGTTTCTCTAGCTTGTATCTCTTGAATTCTTTGTACGTCGAGCGCCAGGCATTGCTTCTCGCACACGAGTTGGACATTTCGTCTCTCCGATGATACCTAAATTCAAAATTCGTATGGACGTTACGTCCGAATGCTAACAAATTCCGCCTCTTTGAGCTTAAAAATCGTCTCATTTAAGTTTTTTTTCTTTTATTGTTCTTGTAGGCAGACGAGCATACGGCCCACCTGATGGTGCGTGGTTACCGTCGCCCATGGACTTCAGCAATACCAGGGGCAGAGCCAAGCCACTGCTTACCCTCAAAATTCAAATATATAAATAAGATCAAAATGTAATACTCGATAATATAAACATACAAATTGCGGTCAAATATTTATTAATATACTGTTTATTCACCGAGCGCCATGTAACGCAATAAAATATTGCGAGGTCAACGCCCCTGCGGACTCGCGTGAATTAGAGGAAACCTACGCTTTACATTGCTGGCTTACTAATGACCTTACCAAAACAAGTCATCATCACACTCAGCAAATAATACCTAATGTTTAATGTTTACCTAATGTTAGAATGATAGGTACTTTACGTAATAACTATCTATGGGATATTAGTACGTAGTAATCGTAGTCTAAATAATAATATAGTGTATATGTATATAGGTCATATACCTAATGTTCTACTGATGTTTTGTATTTGTCAAATCTTCAGTGCAATACCTTTGCCGATATTATTTAAAACTTTCGCGTGAAATTGCGATGGAGATTTGATTATTCGTGGTAGTTACTTATTTTAGAACAAAATTTTATCTATATACATATTTATTTTAATATCGAATCACGAACCAATTCCTGAAACATTATTTCCATTCGCTGTTCGGCTATTCTCAATTTCGGCTCCAACGATTTCAATTCTTCATTATGTTGTTTAATGTAATTTTCATTTGCTTGACTTAATATTTGGTTTTCCCTATAAAAAAAAAGCAACCGAAGATTTTTTTATAATTTACGATGCCACGCTCCACAGAAACGACATTGCGACTGATACTGCCTACATCCAGATATAAGGCATGGTTGCTTTGTGGTAGAATTTAGATGGCGATCGCTTTTGAAGTCGTCATGGCCTATAGGATAAGACGTCCGGTGCATTCGTGTTGAACGATGTACCGGTGTTCGAATCCCGCGGGCGGGTACCAATTTTTCTAATGAAATACGTACTCAACAAATGTTCACGATTGACTTCCACGGGGAAGGAATAACATCGTGTAATAAAAATAAAAAAACCTGCAAAATTATAATTTGCGTAATCACTGGTGATAGGACCTCTTGTGAGACCACGCGGGTAAGTTCACCACCCCGCCTGTTTCTGCCGTGAAGCAGTAATGCGTTTCGGTTTAAAGGGTGGGGCCATTATACTATACTGAGAGATTAGAACTCATATCTCAAGGTAGATGGTGGCATTTACGTTGTAGATGTCTATGGGCTCTGGTAACCATTTAGCATCAGGTGGGTCGTGAGCTCGTCCTCCCATCTAAGCAATAAAAATTAAAAAAAAGTCAAAGACCTTCTTTACCTTTGAACTTTATTTAGAAGTAATCCCTTTTCAACTAATTCGGCATCAAGATTCTTTATATGTACAAGCATATCAACTATTTTCTCGTTATATTTGTCTTTCATTTCGTCTATTTCCTTTCTGTATACAGCTTCTAAGTCGTCTTTGACACTGCACAGGGCACGTTTGACCCGATTTAGTTCGGCTGCAAAGTTTGACGCCATTATGCTAATAGTTTAATTTGAGCATTATGGCTTTAATACTTTAGTTTGACCAACAAGCCTAGAGTACTGTCAACAACGTCCTTTCTACGGTGCTCCTACAATACTATGTCACGTCTTATGTGTACATATCCTTTTAAAAATGGAGATAAGGAGATCTAACTTATATGGTGGAAAAATTGAAACAGTGTCCAGCCATAAACAATAAGTTTCCACTCTAAAACTCGCAAAATTTGCGCCTGTAGCGAAGCGTGTTATACTGGTGGTAAGACGTCTTCTAAGTCCGCAAGGGTAGGTACCACTGCCCTGCTTATTTTTGTCGTGAAGCAGTAATGCGTTTCGGTTTGAAGGGTGAGGCAGCCGTTGTACTGTTAAAAGTGAGACCTTACAACTCGCCTCTCAAGGTGAGTGGCGGCTTTTACGTTGTAGATGTCTATGAGCTCCGGTAATCACTTAACATCAGGTGGGCCGTGAGCTCGTCCACCAATCTAAGCAATAAAAAAAAGAATTAACAGTTGTCAATATAGCGAATAGTGCCGTGTTGAATAACTTAATATAATAACGTTTGGCGTGATCTTCGAAACTACACCACTTGCTACGGTGGCGGCAATCTAATTGATCGCCTATCCACATACACTTTTCATACAGAGAGATCCTTACTCTCTACACTTCAACGAGGTCCGAAAGGAGTTCTCAGAAAGTGAATGAAATGAAAATATTTCTGTAGTTATCTCAGATCATGTCAACTGATATAAATATTTATACTGATTCGACTACACAATTCTGCGTCTTACGAATTATAGTTAAAAATATTAATTTATTAGTGAGGTATCAAACACATGATGAGTCCTTGGCTGAGAACGTCAATTCATAGTATTTTGTTCGATATTCACCAGTCGTAAATATAATTAAAATAATTGCCACCAAGAAATATTTTTTATAAAAAAATGACGCTAGTTGTCAGAATAATAATATGTAATAGCGACAAAATTAAATATCATCATAGTCGTTTATGACTATAGATAATACATGTGACCGCTGTAGATTTTTTTTTTACGGTTGAAACTGGTGGCCCGGAGGCCTTTCCAGTTTTTTACCAGGGCAGGTGGAGATCGGACGTCGGGTGAGAGAGTGCAAGGGGATTCGTTTGGTGGGTAGGGCCCTTAAATATCCTTGGACCCACGGTCTGTTCTGAACATCTGGAGACCGTCAAGTCCTACATACCCCGCGCGCCCCCTAGGCGCGGAAGCCTCACATGAGGTTCAGCCCACTGCCCCAGTGGGCGAGCAAAGGCTCAGCCAGGAGGTGGCTGTAGATAATACATTAATGTATAAGCCCATGTTTAAGGAGGCCACTAGGACTGCAAAGTATTCGAAGCGTGGGAAAATAGTAAGCCGAAAACAATAAATGCAACATTGAACCATATATATTTTTTTTTTATGCAAGATGTGGCCCGGAAGCCTTTTCAGTTTCATCACGACAGGTGAAAGGTTTTAATTGTGTACATCATACCTGTCTGTTGTTTAATGGTTGCGTTTGCATCATTCTTCTGTTTCCTTACAATATCGTAAAGCTCTAAAGCTTCTGCGACCTGCAGTTTTTAATTTAACATGAGTTATATAATTTTTTACTGAGTTAATGAAGATTAGCGGCTGCGTTACAACTAGGTATATTAAGTTAAAAAATATTATAATTCCTTGGTAAATGAAAATAGGCCATTTCAAAAAGGTACTAAATTTATCTGAGTGATAAAAACCAAACCCGCAAATATTACAGCTACTATAAAAAAGCAGCTTTTTTGTTATTTGTCTCGAGATTCGGAGTAAGGAATTTTTAACGGGCTATTTTAGGATATTATGAGGCAAGTTGACCAATAATTATTGGGTAAGATACATTCGTCTAGCACTACGCCGTTTTATGAATATGTGGAGTTACTTAACTAATTTGGATATGCTCACCTTTGACTTAGCTTCCGCATGTTTTTTTATTTTTTCCACCAACTCTTTCTGAATGAAAGCCAATTGTTTTTTTAAGTCTTCCCTACTTTTCTTCTCTGCTGCTAAGTTAATTTTGTATTCTTCTAAATTTTTCGTAAGTTCCTCTATTTTAATTTCCAACTCCTTACCTCTTTCTTTGTAGGACGCGATCTCTTTCTCTTTAATTTTAGCATCATTGAGTAACGTCGAATTCTTTGTTTGCAGTTCTTTATATTTCGCTTCTAATTCTATATAATCTGTTAGCGCTGTTTCTAGTTTTAATTCCAGTTCTCTTTTATTTTCCATATCGTTTAGCTGTAATAACAATTTCCAAATTTCGTTCGATTCACGCATGACTTTTAAGCCCCGAAGTTGTGAATACTATGGCAGTGTTCTAATCACAGTCAGTTAACGTTTTCGTATCTGAACTAGTTTAAATCTATTTAATATTTAAAAAAAAGCGATCTTTGCATGCTATGCTGTTTCACAATATATCGATGGTGTTTTATCGAAACTACAATCAACAATATTGGACTAAAGTAGATACTTAATGTGAATTTAAAACTAAATACCATACTACCTGGAGCCACTGCGGTCATCCACAGTGCGTTTCCAGAGGTCTTTTTTTCCACGTACCATCCGGCTATGGAATGAGCTCCCCTCCACGGTGTTTCCTAAGCGCTATGACATTCTTCAAACGAGGCTTGTGGAGAGTATTAAGCGGTAGGCAGCGGCTTGGCTCTGCCCCTGCCATTGCTGAAGTCCATGGGCGACGGTAACCACTCACCATCAGGTGGGCTATACGCACGTCTGCATACAAGGGCAAGAAATAAAAAAAAAATTCACTTCCAACAAAATACTTCATAAATAATAAAGCAGAATATTAATATACCTGCTTCCCTCTGTTATCGTAGCAGTGGTAAGTTTTTAACTCAGTTTCTAAAGCTTCAATAGTCCTCTGAGCTGTTTGCCATAAAACGTGGAGAGAATCCCTTTCCTAAATTAAAACGGACACATGTAATCATCGTAGCTTTAACCATTAGTTTGCTTCAATTCAATTTTCGAGTATACCAAAATTTAAAGAAAAACAGGCTAGATCTTTAGGTATAAATACCAATATTTGTGGTCAATTGATAAGATGCTTCGTCTCATGCTAGTATGGTCTGAACCACTGACGGAGCCGTCAACAAAATATCTAATTAGCATTCGTTATGTATGTCACGTGCGTTATTGATCGACTTCCACGTTGAAGGATAATAAAGTTGCTGAATAAATTAAACCAAAATGAAATACTACATAAAACCCTATTTGATATTGCTTGTAAGTGCTCCTATCAATTTTCTAGATATCTCCTTTTTATTTTTTATTGCTTAGATGGGTGGACGAGCTCACAGCCCACCTGCTGTTAAGTGGTTACTGGAGCCCATAGATATCTACAACGTAAATGCGTCACCCATCTTGAGATATAAGTTCTAAGGTCTCAAGTATAGTTATTGTTTTGACCATAGATTTCAGAGGCAAAACGCGTGTTATCTGGCTTCATATTTTGTTTATTTTCATTGACAAGCAAGGAGGCTGATCGTCCGCTAGTGTTTCGTGGCTACTGAGCACGTTGTCAGTCAGTTAAGTCAGAATTTGATAACATAAGAACGTCAACCGTCGGTGCAAATGTTTTACAAGGTTTGGGGGTATTTAAGTTGCGGATTTTAACGTGATATCACACAGCTCTCCTAACACTCCCTCCTGGCTGGACCCTTGAGTTCGTCCACTTGTCAAAATTAAACTTATAAAGCTTTTGGGCGACCAGGTATATTTTAATACAAAAAATACTGCTGTAACACACATAACTTACTGGTGGTAGGACCTTTTGTGAGTCCGCACGGGTAGGTACCACCATCCTACCTATTTTTACCGTGAAGCAGTAATGCGTTTCGGTTTGAAGGGTGAGACCTTAGAACTTATATCTGAAAGTGGGAGGCGCATTTACGTTGTAGATGTCTATGGGCTCCAGTAACCACTTAACACCAGGTAGGCTGTGAGCTCGTCTACCCATCTAAGCAATAAAAAAGGGGGGGCGTTAAATGTAAATTCGTTTACAGACCTTAGTAAATAAAGCGACTTGTCTCTTGAGTTCATCTAGCTCTTTGCTTTGTTCTTGATTAGAATCAGCCGACTGCTTCTCATTCTCCAGTTTCTCTTTAAGCAGCACACCGAGCTGATGCGAAAGCTTTTGATTGTCAGCGATCAGCATTTTGATCTCTTGTTCGACGATAGTATGGTTGTTCTGGAATCGAAAGGTCAATTTTACTAGCAATTAAGACTTTATTTGCTGTTCTTTGGACATGAGAATCGAAATCTCCTTGTCTTCTGTAACTAGTGCTAAAAGACAAAATTTTCGAATGCAGTCAGTTACAGTAATAAACATCATGAGAATTATAATCGGCAACAGTTTATTTAATCCAAATTTTTTTATTGCCTTTGTAGGCAGACGAGCATACGGCCTACCCGTTGATGAGTGGTTACCGTCACCCATGGACTTCAGCAATGCCAGGGGCAGAGCCAAGCCGCTGCCTACCATTGAGTACTCTCCATAAGCCTCTTTTGTAGAAGGACAAGTCATAGCGCTGGGGAAACGCCGTGGAGGGGAGCTCATTCCAAAGCCGGATGGTACGTGGCAAAAAAGATCTCTGGCACGCATCTAGCATGAACTCCAAATTAACATGAATATTTCTTCTTAAATGAGTTATTGGGTGAAGTGTTTTGAGTACTTCCTCACATGTATGAACCAGTTATTGGAATACTTGTAACATATAATTAACTAAGTATATAGGATGAGTATACTACTAACGTCTACTAACACCACCGATTGTACTGCAGGATATCCGGATTTTCGCAGTGCGTCGCGTTTTCGATCCGTTGGTAGATTCTGCGAAGCACTGCTCTTGCTAGGGCCAGTGTTAACAAACACCTCCGGTTTGAGCACCGAGAGCATAGGTAGAAAAAAAACACATAATATCCGAAATTCCCATGGGGTTGAAACCTTAAAGCGGTATCATTTACCGCCATTGTGGTGTCGCTTTTGGCCAGCGTGGTGGCCTCTTCGCCGAACTACTGCTACATTACTAAAAAAACGCTGCTGGAATTGGAAAAATATAAATAGAATGTAAATACGGTACCTACCCTATAGAACTCCACTTCTGTTTGGAGAGCACTTATTTCTGTATTATCCATAATTCAATTATATTCCTGAATAGTCATATTATATTATTACTTAAAAATCAATTTAAAATATGCATCTATGTTCGAACTTAGTATTGTCACTTTCGTTTAGTTTGTTTACATTTTCCCGCTTAGTGCTGATATACCGTTGCCTAGCAACTGATATTATGTTCAGAAATATTTTCGGAATTGTGACTACCAATTACATTTTTACTTGTCATTATTCTTTTCGGTAGGTCGTTGAAAAGTAAAAATAGTCAAAAATAAAAAAATTACAACTATTAGAGATCAAAACTAGGTAGTCAATTTTGTCTTATTTACGAATACAAGATACCATCTTAATGTTTTTGGACGAAACATGTTTGTCTAAACGTCAATTCAATATTGATGTTTTCGCAAAAATGGGAAATTCGCGAAATTGCGTTTTTCCGCGAAATGAAAATTCCAGAAATTTAAGTGAACATAAGTCTATAGTAAATTAAAAATTTTCATCAATCAATAAAATCAAATTAGAGAAAATGACAAGGTTTAACATTTATGTGCTCAATATAGTTTTTTATTTTAATGAATCGTGACTTTCTGAAAAGAATATAAACCAACATTGTTTTTTTTTAGTCTGTACTTCGATATAAGCCAAGAGCAATGGCCAATAGTATATGATGACAAATACAATGTTTCGGTTTTTGGTCTCGAGAAGTTTCATGTATTTGACGCTAAAAAGTGGCGGAATATTGTTCAGGTAGAGTATAAGTTATAGCTCACTAAAACGGTATTATTGAGTTTAGCAATCTCTTACAGATAACGATAAGCATGGGCAGGGTAATCTAGGATGTGTGAAGGACATGAACATGGTAGGTAACTGGCCATTAGCTGATAGCTAGCTTATTGATTATTTAAATTCCAGAATGGTCAACAACAACAAAAAAATCAGTGCTATTTGAGATTTTATGAAAAAAGACTAGAGACTAGAAGGTTAAAATTTCAATTTAATTCTAGCTATCTAAGTTTAATGAATGAATTCAGGCAGAAATATGCACGATGATGTAGTGAGGAACAATGCAGGGAGGCATCAGAAAATGCGTATTTATAAACATTTATTAGAAATTACAATTTTAAAACAATATAAACAGTATCTAAATTGCTTTGAATTAAACATGGCAGTTGGAAATCTGTGGGTATTATAAAGTTTGAAAGAAAGTTGAGATCATTTACATAAACAAAATAGTGATGATAAAAAAAATAAGCTAAATATAATTAACAACTGAATTAATAATCTGCTATCTTTGTGAATGATCCAATTAAATTACAATTAAAGACAATTAAAGAAATATTGAAAACTGAATAACGAATAATGTTATGTCTCACCTCTTTGTCTAGTATTTAAGGAATGCACAACTTATAACGGATGAACGCCTAGTGAAGCCAAAAGAAGCGCAGAAGAGTGATTTGCTTGTTGTCCATACAAAGCGGTATCTCAAATCTTTGAATGTAAGTAAAGCATTACCTTTTTTTTGCTTAAATGAAGCCGGATTCTAATTAATTAATAAAGCTGTTGTTTGCTAAACTGCAAACACATTTCCTGTCAATTCCATGTTTTATGTGTGAAATTGTGATTTCAAAAATTTGGAAAATAATATCTAAATCAATTTTTTAATTCCAGTGGAGTGCAAGAGTGGCTATAATCGCAGAAGTACCACTTGTATCTTTATTACCAAATTTCCTGGTTCAATACGCTTATTTAAAGCCGATGAGGTAAATAAATAGTTATGTAAAATGTGGTAGTAATAATATTGGTTGATATACAGTGCCTTAATAAGTTTTAACATTGTATATGAATTCAAAAAGAGTAGAAAGCATGATCTGTGATTACACTTTCCAAATTTTATATTTTAAAATGTAATTGTGTATAATGATTTACAAATAGCTATCCTATAAAATGAATTAAAATATGTTTTATTTATTATTCAACATATAACATTCGACATGGTGGTTTCACAGTATGCTTAGTGCATATAGTATAGTGGTATTTAAGTAATGGTAGTATATTTCCAATTTGATTAAAGGTTACAAACAGGTGGTTCAGTTCTTTGTGGTAAGCTGGCATTGGAGCGTGGGTGGGCTATCAATGTGGGTGGTGGCTTCCACCACTGCAGTGCTCAAAAAGGCGAAGGTTTCTGTCCGTATGCTGACATAACGCTGCTGATACGGTTCCTCATGATGAATAACTTAATAGAGACTGCTATGATTGTCGATTTGGATGCTCATCAGGTAAGATTATTGATATTTTTTCTCAATATAGAGACTGCAAGATTAAAATGAATACATCTGTGGTGGGTAGCCATTATACAATACAAAGATATTTGACAGATGCCTGAATCTTGTCTATTACGACATTTTCAAGATAAGCTTTCATTTATACAAGTTTGCCTACGTTTACCGCTAGGGGCGCTGCCCCAACTCCATACAAATTTGAGTTAACTTTTACGCAATCGAGAACGTTAATAAACTTGCACTAAGCACATGGATCTGCACACACAACCACTGTGATGGAGAGTGTCCGGACTATGTCTATGGGCTAATTTACTCGTCGAGGTCTTCGTCGATGATTCGATGATTGAGGTACCTAAAAGCACCGTTAATGGATCGGAAGGATCCGTAATGACGTGAACCTTCGGTTTGTTGATATAGGTAATAAAACGATACAAAAAATTGAGCCGCCTCATTTATATCCACACAAAGGGTTCGGACGTAGGATCTTCTTCTGTCTCCCGGGGTCCAATATTAATGTTTTATTTCAGGGAAATGGTTACGAAAAGGATTTCCTGGGTGTTCCCGAGGTATACATAATGGATATATACAATAGAAATATTTTCCCGAAAGACAAAGAAGCGAAGAAGGCGATACGAAGGAAAGTGGAACTCGGGAACCTGGTTGAGGACATGGAATATATGCTGAAATTGCGATTGTGAGTTGTTGATGAACTAGACGTGCCCCGCGGTACCGCCTGCGTTGGATTTGTTATTCGGCACGAATTAAACAGCGTCTGTTTTTGCGGGATAACGTAAACTAGCAATCGATTGAGTTTTTTTTTATTGCATACATGTGTGGACGAGCTCACAGCCCACCTGGTGTTAAGTGGTTAGTGGAGCCCATAGACATCTACAACGTAAATGCGCCACCCACCTTGAGATATAAGTTCTAAAGTCTCAAGTATAGTTGCAACGGCTGCCCCACCCTTCAAACCGAAACGAATTACTGCTTCACGGCAGAAATAGGCGGGGTGGTGGTACCTACCCGCGTAGACTCTCAAGAGGTCCTACCACCACTTGAAATAGGTGTATTCGGAATTGACCGGGATTACCAAGATAAAAGCTATCCTATGTGTTAGTGTTATGAATTATTTTTCTGTGCGATATTTCTTGTAAAAACGTTCAGCCAATTAATTAACATATCGACGGATGAAATGTTATTTGCTTTAAGCGAAATTTTTGCAACTTTACAGGAGAGCCATTTAAAGTCTACAATATGGAAAAAAATCATAAAAAAAAAGGTTCAGCAATTTGAATGGAGTGAACTTAATTGAAGTTCAATTAAAAACATCGAACTGTTGATGCTAATATGAAATAAAACGCACCTTTAATTACAAAGATAAATGATAATATTAGTATAGATATGAAAGTGATTTGAAAATGTGTCCAAGTCAAATAATACAATTTGAAGTCGTCGTGGCCTAACGGATAAGGCGTAAGGTGCATTCGTGTTGAGCGATGCACCGGTGTTCGAATCTCGCAGGCGGGTACCAATTTTTCTAATGAAATACGTACTCAACAAATGTTCACGATTGATTTCCACGGTGAAGGAATAACATCGTGTAATAAAAATGTAACCCGCAAAATTATAATTTGCGTAATTACTGGTGGTAGGACCTCTTGTGAGTCCGCACGGGTAGGTACCACCACCCTGCCTATTTCTGCCGTGAAGCAGTAATGCGTTTCGGTTTGAAGGGTGGGGCAGCCGTTGTAACTACAATTGAGACCTTAGAACTTATATCTCAAGATGGGTGGCGCATTTACGTTGTAGATGTCTATGGGCTCCAGTAACCACTTAACACCAGGTGGGCTGTGAGCTCGTCCACTCATCTAAGCAATAAAAAAAAAATAATAATAATAATAATAGAGTTTCAATTGTAGTCAATTTTTTTAATTGCTCTAGATGAGGAGATGAGGTTACGGCTCACCTGATGATGAGTTTTCGGAGCCTCTAGTAAGAAGAGGTCGAAGTCGATTGTGTTTGCATAGTTGCTGCTGTCCCTAGGCCATACGCGTGATTGTTTCGTGCCACAGATAGGTAGGTGCTTACGGACAGACAACAGTGTGCTTAGTGCGAGTTTTTCAACGTTCTCGATAGCGTAAAAGCTAACTCAAATTTGTATGGAGTTGGAACAGCGCCCCTAGCGGCAAAGGTAGGCAGACATTCCAACTCCAACAAATTTGAGTTAACTTTTACGATATCGAGAACGTTAAAAAACTCGCACTAAGCACACTGGAGTGATTAGATAATGGACCCTTTATTTTTTTTTGGGGAACGGAACTAAAAAAGGACAATTTTCATCGAAATAGTTGTTCAAATCACATTTTCCTAAGTTTTCACAGGTGCCTGGAACTATTACACCTGATCTATGGTTACATATATATATATATTGCTAAAGTCCATGAGCGACGGTAACCACTCACCATCAGGTTGGCCGTATGCTCGTCTGTCTATGCGGCAATAATAATAATAAAAAACATACTTGTACCGAATAACGAAATTGTTTATTGATTATAGTTCATTTAAAAAGAAAACCGTAATAAACGTTCATCTTTGACTTTTCAGGAATTTAAAAGCAGCCTTTAATGAATTCAAACCGGATATAGTTGTGTACAACGCGGGCACTGATATTTTGGACACAGATCCGTTGGGACACATGAGCATAAGTGAATGTGTAAGTATTACGTAACACATATCCTTTCTGTACATTTCTTTTTTAAATTTCTATAGTATAGCTGGGGATTGTTTATTGTATACCAAGATAAAGATTTCTTCTTTTTCTTTTTCTCCACCTTGTCCCACTAGGTGGGATCGGCACAGCTAATTTTTCTCTTCCATTCTCTTTTATCAACCGAAATCTCAACACACACTCCTATCTATCTCTTTCATATTGTCATTCACATTCCATCCATGTTTTCTTTGGTCACTACCTTGCACTACCATTTCTATACATCTCCTAGTCGCATGCATCATCTCTCTACGCATCACATGTCCATACCACGCTAACCTTCCGCTCTTTTATTTGTTGATTACCGGGGCTACTTTCACACATCCTCTGATATATCAAAATAAAGACACATATGCAAAACATTAAGTACAAGCTCGCTCAGAGCGATATCTTTCAGAGAATGAGGTGGACCAGAATCACTTTAGGAAAAAAATTGGCCATGGTGTCCTTGTAGATTGAAAAAAACAATATATTTATAAAATTCTCGTGTCACAATGTTAGTTACCATACTCCTCTGAAACGGTTTTACCGATTTTTATGAAGTTTTATATGAATGTTCAGTAGGTCTGAGAATCGGCTACTATCTACTTTTCATACCCCTAAGTTATAAGGGTTGTCGAGCCCTTTTTTTTTTGTTTTAACGCTGGGGAATCCATTTACGTATACCCGGTCGAGAGGGGTAATAGACCGGGTTATGTCGGACTCCGGCGCCTCCAGAGAAGAAGAGGGAGAAGAGGAAGACCAAAGTCCTCCTCTTCTTCCAATTCCTACCGGGAGACTACGCCTTGAGAAAGGCGCGCGAGGTGCTGCGCGGCGTCTACCACGTAGGACCCGCCCCGCAAAACCGACTACCGACTAAACCCCATCGAGCTCCACCACTCCGACTCCACGAAACCCACGGTACCACACAATGCGCGCCGCAAAGGGTTGTCGACCCCTAACATTTATTTTCTATTTTTTTTGCATTTTTTTTTGTTATAATTAGGCATTATGTGGTTAAATGAGGTTTTGTTATTTTTATATTTCCTCATCGTTCACAGCGCTACATGCCTCTTTCACTCATTTACCACATCCTTACACACAATAAGTATTTTTTTTTTTCTACACTAGAAATTCCCTATAAATCTTATATATGGCAAAACAACGTTTGCCGGGTCAGCTAGTAAAGATATAATTATCAGCAATATAATGATGATATTGCTACTTTACACATAAGATATGAATAAACAATTTATAATGTTTACCTGCTCATATTAAAATACATCTAGTAAAAGGCGTAAACAGTTTATATAGTGCACCGATAGATGTCGCTGTTCATTCTAGAACAAATTCTAGATCGCGATGACGAGATGCTCCGCGGTCGAATCAGGAGATCGCGGTCGAGGAATATCGATATCGCTTCTCGGCCTTTTGGCTAAGATCAAAGTGTAGTATCTGTTCTTTTCAGCTTAATATCTGAAAGTTCCCTCATTGAGGGACCAGTATATTAAACTGATTTTTGTAAAACGACGGGATGTTCGGGGCTCGCTCCACTCCCGTCACGGGTCGGCCCGGCATTGCAGTGCCGCCGGGATCGGCCCTCAGAAACCTCTGAAAAATTGATTTTCCGTTAGGACTGTCAGTTAACCTAGACAGATTTAACTTAGTTGTGAATCAAATACAATAATAATATAAGATACATGCATGTCCTGAAACAAATGACCTAGTGATCTAATAGTGAGTTAGAAGTTAGAACTGAGTTACTGATACGTTCGGAGCTAGTGTGAGCTAGTGATACATTCTATCGGTGTGAGTGATATAATATATCTTTTATAGCACTCACTCAGGAGCTACACATCTATAACGTAGTGATTATATACTCTTTGTACACATCTTTAAATATAATACATGAAGGGGCTTGTGCAGTGGGGGTCGAGCGTACTTTACTGACTCACATTCAATAGATTTACATAATTACTCTAAGACCTTAGTGATTTCGTATCGATTTCGACATAGCGACGTTGCCGATGGTCATATAAATGTGGACATAAAGTAAACAAATTAGTTCTATTTGCTCTGTTCAGAATAATTTACCAAATATTAGTCACCATTTTTTTTTATAAGCTACAAATAAAATTATAATTTGTGTAAATACTGGTGGTAGGACCTCTAGTGAGTCCGCACGGGTAGGCACCACCGCCCTGCCTATTTCTGCCGTGAAGCAGTAATGCGTTTCGGTTCGAAGGATGGGGCAGCCATTGTAACTATACTGAGGCCTTAGAACTTATATCTCAAGGTGGGTGGCGCATTTACGTCATAGATGTCTATGGGCTCCAGTAACCACTTAACACTAGGTGGCCTGTGAGCTCGTCCACCCACCTAAGCAATAAAAAAAATCGATTCTTCTCACGCGAAAGCAAAATTTGAAATCTTCGCTTATTTAAATTTCAGGGGATAATAAAACGGGATGAATACGTATTTGAGATGTGTAAAGGTCTCCGCGTGCCCATAGTCATGTTGACGAGCGGCGGCTATCTGAGGAGGACCGCGCGGATCATAGCCGAGTCGATCATTAACTTGCACGGGAAAGGCCTAATATACGGTAGCTGTAAAGATAGTAAATGGTAAATGAAATGTTGAATGACGTTATCGGAACGTGAGGGTACAGAGAGCTGTTAAGACTTGTGTAGTAGTGAAATTGTTATAGAATATTATTATTTTCCTACCTAAGCTGATAGCCTTTTGAGAGGCTATTTCAGCGTAACCTTAACTAGTAGGTGAGCTCACGGGGCTTAAACCGCAGTGATGCTAACATTGACCCAAGCAAGAGCAGTGCTTCGCAGAATCTACCACCGGATCGGAAACGCGACCCACTGAGAAGATCCGGCGAGAAACTTAGTGGGCTATTGAATGATGAAGATGTTTCTATTATATACACGTTTTATAGTTTCCATGTTTGTTCGTATTCAATGCCCATCCTAAGGCTGGGTTCACACGACATTGTCTACGATTTTAAAAGTACACTCCAAGGATTGTTCTCACGATCGATTTTCATTTGTATTAAATACGAAAGGCCCCGAAAGTTATCACAGAGTTTTAAACAGGAGTATTTTAAGAACCGTTTTCAGAAATTCAGACCCAGAGGTTCCAAGCTATCCGTAAGAATGTAATTATCGACAATGCGAACGGCCATTTTCTGTGTGGAGTGAAATAGAAGTAGCTGGTATTTGGGAGCCCCGGCCTGAAGGTGGGAACAGTACTCCACGCGAGGCCGAATCTGTGCTTTGTAAAGCAAAAGCTTTTGTAAAACCAAATGCATATATCCAAACCAAGAGCATTATCATAAGGCGAAGACAATATGCCTTATGTATGAAGGGAGAAGTCCGTTTCTACACAGAGAAGCAATTGTGATGGGTTTGATGAAGTTGCCCTAATCCCATAAATAGCCTACCGGTTCAGCCTTGACCTGATAAGGCAATTCAGGATTCTCCGAGCCCTCGGATGGCGCATCGCGTCCCAAAGTCAAGTAAGAAGCAACGCATGAGTGCTAGCTGTCCAGAAGTTCCCCGTCGATTTCACCCCCCATGGGAGGAAACCGTAGCGGTATCCAGGTTGATGATGAAGGATTTGCTCTACATATAATAACTATTTACTACGTCTTTTGAGAGGAATACCAGAAGATACGCGGAATGTGCCTTTTGGCGTCTTAGTAGGAAAACTGAGGATCTTACATAAGGCTATTGATGTTTCAACAAGTCTAATTATCAGTAATCGTAAAAACATGCATTGCTTTACACAATGCCGTGTGAACTAAGAGCTGCTTCGATCTGGTTGCACATTGTACGGTAGCGCGAGCAATACGCATCCCGAACATAAATTTATTTTAGATCCCGCAAATTACCAGTATTTTAGCGGACCGTCGCTATTGTTTATATTTGATTAGCCGGGCTGACTAGATCACGGCTAATCTGGTTTTAATTTGTTATCGAGGCCTAGTTTGAAGGGTAGTGCATTCTCAAAATAAGAATGAGAGAAAAAATCTTGCAGTCTTAGTACTATTGTTGATCGAAGGTCTTAAGGCTACGTCAAACAGAACGCGTGATTAGCTCGCGTCAGAGCGCTAAACTGACTGCGCGCTATGACGCCGAGACGTGTCGTACTACTATGGTAACATACCGTCAAACAGAGCGAGTACGCAACGCTCTGTCGCGGCGCTAGGACGCTTTGACGTCAGGCGTTGTAATTTTTTACAAATTTTATTTTAGCGTCCGAGTGAATGTGTATTAAAATACTAGATAATGCCCTAAAAATTGATAGAAATAGTAAATACCCATGCTTATACAATGCCACATCTGAATCACTCGACATCTTGATACTCACTGCGATCGAAAGGCACTATGATTTGGCGTTACGTTGCGTCAAGGAGCGTCGGACTCGTCTAGTCAATTTGTGTGACATGAAAAGAGCGCGACATTAAAACGCAGCGCTAAGTACGCGTTCTGTTTGACGAAGCCTTTAGTGTTTTGTTTTTGCGATGGAAGTCATCAGCAGTGACCACACCGCCTCCTGAGCTCTGTACCGAAACCATTGTTAAACACTAGGTTTAGTTAGAAATAATTGATGTATTAAAGATGCTTTGTGCCAAATTACTTAGTTATGTCATCAAGCAAACTATAATATTTAATTTTGTTGTTAATGAATTCCTTAATGTTGTAGCCATGTGATAATAAGCAACCGGGCGAACATTAAAAACGAAATAAAAAAAAATATCTGAAATATTCTAGAAAGTTCGAATACTTTTTCTAAAATCGATTTAAACACAAATCAAAATGTTATGTTTCTAATGTTTGTTTAGTTTTTAAATGACGTTATTGGATGTAATTTAATTCCACCAACTAAGGAATATCCCGTTTCCTATTCTTGTATTGATAGATTATAATTGTTTATTTGAAAATAAATGTTTCTTTGTTAAAAATATTGTTTTATTTGCTGTCTTCAGTATTAAATTTGTCACGTAAATCAATAATAAAAAATATTCGTAAGATAAGAAAAAAGAATTTGTTTTTGTCAACGTATAAAAAGTACAATATATCCGTAATAATAATATTGTATAAAATCCGCAAATCTTACAAATGTGTACAGATTGTGGTGTTTTGAGCTCTCAATAGTATGTGTCCCCTGCCTATTTCTGCCGCGAAAAAGTCTAGCTATTTCTAAACTAAAAACAAATCATCAATACGCGAATTCCAATAATTGCCAAGTAAAGTCAAATGGATTGACTAGTCGGTAGTTGTGTTTGAATTTCAGTGGTGTTAAAACCGCATTTGCATTTACGCGTCGCCGGCTCTCGGTTAGGCTTGAAGGGACATTATTAAAATAAAATTATCTAATGTCTCGAAAAAGAACAACCGACGTGACGTTATAACTTTATAGTTAAGTTAACCGCTTATAGAATATTTTGTTTAAATTAACGCTCAAGTGAGTTGTCAGTGTGACCATATTTAAAAGTCTATGCTACCAAAATAAAAAATATGTCAAAAACTGTCCGTTTAATTTAGAAGCACCAAAAGCAAATGCAGTGTAAATCCATTGTTAACAATATAATAATCAAATATTAGTGTTGGTCGCATTATTAGACTTTAAAATAGCAGCTACAAATTTCGCGTTCCCATTATATTATAATAATTATAATGATCTCTAATTAAAATCGTAGTTAAAAAATTACATGCAAATATAGATTTTGTGGCGCTTGGTAAGGTTTTTTATTAGGAAATTTGTTATTTATTAAAAGCCACAAGTTCTGTCATCGAGGTGACTTACTTTGAAATGATTTCTATCTTAATACGGCAATTGTAAATTATTACACTACTAACAGATTCATTGTAAAGATTTACTCTACTCAAATATATGTGCATTATGACAGTCTTTCTGTTTAATATTTTGTTTATAAGACATCAGTAATAAAAGCGCTTGAATCAAATTTATCTCGTGGTAGTGTTGAACTGAGAGTAATAATCGTCGGTTGGCGTGTTGTTGTAGACCACTTCTCGGAAGTATTTCTCCCTTTCCTTTTGCTGTAAAGCCATTAGTTGGTTCTCTTCCATCAACTGTCGAGCCATTTCCCTGTAACAATGTTCTGATAAAAATCCCTCGAACAGATCTAAAAGGCAGTCGTATTAAACTAAATCCGCCTCATGTAGCAAGATGAGTGGCGATATAAAATTTTTTATAATCTTTCACACCTCTCGAGATGTTCATCTAATTTTTCTATAAGAATTTAACGCAAGTAAATTACAATTTGGCCTTAGTGTTGCCGACAAGTAACGCACCCCACCACGGAATAGATAAATAAGGTTGGAATGGTAATGTAGGCGGGGCAAGCGTGCCACAGTTATGATAGAACAAACATAACTCGACCGATTCTTTCATTCACCGCGTTTAGTGCGCTTCGGACTACTTGGCGAACAGATCTCCGCTTTATAGTGCCGTGTTGTGCAATTATAACTTGTAAAACAAAAAATCTGACCTCAAGTATAGAGCGAGGAGGTATATCTTTCGATCGGTAAGTCGAAATTACCATTTAATTACAATATTATTTGTCTAAAACATAAAAATATACTGAGCATTATGAAATTCCAAACATTAACAATATTATTGCAGCAAGTTATAAATAGCATACATTGCGCGATGTTTACTCGCCCAATGAACGCAATGACCAAGTCAGCTTCCAATGTACTACATGCATTGCGTTCTCTACACTTCAATCTTTGAAATTTCGGCCTTTAACCTGATTGGCCGTGCAGTTTGTCGATAGTGAGGTGACCATGTGGTAAAATCATCGACAGAATTCTCGACTATATTTACATTTGACATGGATAATTTTTGCATTATTTTATATTTAATTAATGATACCTAGTATATTCTTAGTGAGACGTATTTTGAGTAAAATAAATATGTATTATTATTATTGAATTATTATCATTGAATTAAANTACTTGAGTTCTTAGAATATCGTTACTTGTTTTAAAGAATGGAAAAGTTAGTAAATGATTTTTTAAATAATGAAAAAACACTCGTTCTGACTTAGCTGCAACGGTTGTTTCATTCGGGTACCGACTCACTCTCCTCCATTCGATGGCAGTCTTCGCGGTCTCGGAGCACGGCTTATTACATGCGGTGCTGTATGTTCGGAAGCTGCGCGATCGATCGCGGGGCGAGCCTGGAAACGTCGGCCAAACGAATGAGCAGAAAGAAATAATATATAATTACTAACGTGCTGTTTCGTAAACAGTGACAATTGAATTGGCTAATGTTAAACTTGCTTATTGAATTTTATGACTTTTACTGTATATTAATATATTTTAAAACAATGAATTCTAATGATTTAAGATTAAACAATGTTGAATAATTATAATGTGTAGGTAGATCGCAGAATGACGCGTAAAAATTGTATAGAATTTTTACGAAATGCGTGGATAGGCAGCTTGTTAACTGAGAAAACGTTTTTGAAATGAAGGCTTGATTGTTTGTATTTTAAAGCAATGATAGCAAGATTGCATAACAATGCACTTGGTAATCTTTGTTGAACACTTGGATGATTTACGTAAAATTATGTTAATTATCCTTTGCACAAATGTACGAAACTTCTGATACACTGTGAAGGCAATAATTATGGATTTGAATTGTTACTGAGGGATTGGGAATGTTGAAGGAAAGACACTTATCTTATTTTATGAACGACAACGCGGTCGTGGCGAAGTCTTACTGCTGCTGCTTCGCTGCCGGATCCAGCGATTGTCCAGTACTGCGTTCCCTTTTCCTTTTGGAGTAGATTGCTAATGCGACGCCGCTATCTTACTGATGACTTGGCACGTCGAATGAGGCGGAACGCTTGTCCTGTCACGGTCGCCAAAAAAAAAAAGTATGTCTTATATTTGATGAACGACAACGCGGTCGTGGCGAAGTCTTACTGCTGCTGCTTCGCTGCCGGATCCTGCGATTGTCGAGTACTGCGTTCCCTTTTCCTTCCTTTTGGCGGAGATTGCCAATGCGACGCCGTTATCTTAATGATGACTTGGCACGTCGAATGAGGCGGAACGCGGGTCCTGTCACGGTCGCCAAAAAAAAAGTATGTCTACGCGAGACACTGTGGCCTTATTGTTTCTTTAATAAAACCAATTGCACTCTTGCTACTTGCTTTAATTATACAATGGTTTGGTTGTGATTGTTCGTCGATGAATCTTGGAATGTGTCCTTTCTCGAAAAGGAAGGTCTTGTGTCAATACTCATTATTGGGAGGTATCTTCAGACTGTTGTTGCATGCTGTCAGCGCGCGGTGCCGGTAGTAGAAAATGTTTTGGCTAGCTTGCTGTGGCGAACGCATCAGGCGCCGCGACAATTCTATTTAATGGAACTAAATAACGTTGTTATTTTATCGCATTATTTTCGAATGGACACGTGTCCCTGTGTACCGCCCTGTTCGTCGTACTTACTCAGTTTATCGTTAATTAATTGCGAAGGAAAGTTCTGTTCTGCATCATGTCAAAACGGAAAATGAAAGTACTGTCATTAAGTGATGAACTTAAAATAGTGAATGCGTTTGAATCCGGAAAATCGCGAAATGAAATTCAGAGGGTGCATTAGTGAGAAACTCGGGTTAGTGAGAAACCTCTATAAGCGAGAATGAGATAGTGTTCCCTTGAACTCTCGCTTATCCAGGTTTGACTGTATATCTTAATTAAAAATATTTTTGTGAAATATAAAAAAAAAAAATCTGAAATAATCTAGAAAGTTCGAAATACTTTTTCTAAAATCGATTTAAACACAAATCAAAATGTTATGTTTCTAATGTTTCTTTAGCTTTAAATGAATTTATCGGCTGCAATTTAATTCAACCAAGTTCTATAAAATTAGCGCGAATTTTTTGAAAATTAAGAAACATCCTGTTCCCTATTCTAGTGTTGATAAATTATAATTTATTATTTGAAAATAAATGTTCTTTTGTTATAAATGTTGTTTTATTTGCTGTCTTCAGTATTAAATTTGTCACGTAAATCTAATAATAAAAAATGTTCGTAAAATAAAAAACAATAATTTGCTTTTGTCAACGTATAAAATGTACAACGTATCTGCAATAATAATAGTACAAAATTACATAGTACAGATTGTGATGTTTTGAGCTCCCAATAGTACGTGTCCCTGCCTATTTCTGCCGCGAAACAGTCGAGCGCTCGGGCTTGAAGGGACATTATTCCAATAAAATAATCTAATGTCTCGAAAAGAACAACCGAGGTGACGTTGTAACTTTATATAGTTCCATGAACCGCATAGAGAATAATTATAGCACTCTTTAGCTCATTGAGTTTCTCGCCGGCTTTTTTCAGTAGGTTGCGTTTCTGATCCGGTGGTAGATTCTGCAAAGCACGGCTCTTGCTAGCACTTCCGGCTTGAGCCCCGTGAGCTCACCTACACGCTAGGGTGAAGCTAAAATAGTCTGTCAAGGCTATCAGCATAAGTAGGAAGCAGCAGTGTGCATATCAGCAGTGTGACCATGCTTAAAAGTCTACGCTACCAAAATAAAATATGTCTAAAGTTGTCCGTTTAATTTAGAAATACCAAAAGCAAATGCAATTTGAAGTCATCATTAAAAATAACAATTATCAATATAATAATCAAATATTAGTATAGGTTGAATTATTTAGACTTTAACATATCGCCTACAAATTTCCCGTTTCCGTTATAATAAAATGATCTATAATTAAAACTGGGCATTTGGCAAGATTTTACTTATGAAATTTGTTATTTATGAAATGCCAGAAGCTCTATCATCGCGGTGACTTACTTTGAATCGATTTCTATCCTTAATACGGCAATTTTAAATTATTACAGTGCTATCAGATTCATTGTAAAGATTTACTCTACTCAAATATATGTGCATTATGACGTAAGTCTTTCTGTTTAATATTTTCTTTATAAGACCTCAGTAGTAAAAGCGCTTGAATCAAATTTATCTCGTGGTAGTGTTGAACTGAGAGTAATAATCGTCGGTTGGCGTGTTGTTGTAGACCACTTCTCGGAAGTATTTCTCCCTTTCCTTTTGCTGTAAAGCCATTAGTTGGTTCTCTTCCATCAACTGTCGAGCCATTTCCCTGTAACAAATGTTCTGATGAAATTCACTCGAACCGATCTAAAGGGCAGTCGTGTTAAACCAAATCCACCTCATCTTGCAAGATGAGTGGCGATATTAATTCTTTAATCATCTTTCACACCTCTCGAAATGTTCATCTAATTTTCCTACAAGAATTTAAATCCAAGTAAATGCCAATTTGGCCTCATTGTTGCCGACAAGTAACGCACCCCACGCACCACATAATAGTAATAATCATAATAGTAATAATAATAATACTTGGTTTAGGCCCGTGATCTTCATTATACCGAAATATCTTAAGTATTTCGAGAAACACAATACAAAAGAAATGTAATAATAATAAGCATTTATTGCTGTTTTACTTACTAATTACTTAATAATAAATTAAATTTAAATTCAACTTATAATCAAGTATTCCGTTCGGCGTTCGGTGTGGTTTTCAACACAGCTTGTCTCTCGACAAAGGTCTCCTCTAAAGGTTGCCATTATTCTCTATTTTTGGCCATTCGACTCCAATGCGGGCCGGCTAAACTCTTTATTTCATCTTACCAACGTTTTGGCTGTCTTCCTTTTTTTCTACAGCCATATAAATATATGCCATATAATAAATAAAATGCACCACATATTAAAACTTAATGTATAAACTCGCCAAACTACATTCTTGTTTCAAACAATTACACTAGTTTCCAATCATTGACAAGCCAAAGTAACATACCTGCGTTTTCGTTTGTCCTCAATGTCTTGGACAGCAACTTCTCTCTGAATTGATTTGGACAGCGCTTGCCATTCAGCTTCCATCTTCTGTTCGGCCTCGCGTTTAACCTAAAAAAATTAAATGGAATGTAAGATTTGACTCAAAACGCTTCGTCTCCTATATATTAATACAAAATCTCAAATTTATCATAATAGTTATTCTCATTTTCCAACAGTATTATTGTTTGGAATTGCTTCGTATCATTGAGAAAATAGGAAGGCTAGTGGTAGCCAATTTTGCGGACCTACAATACGTCCCAATCCCAATGAATATAGCGCTTGTGGTACAATAGAAAAATATTCAGAAATCGCCGCTGCTCGTTTTCCAGTGAATAGCTCAGTCCTCTCCTACGACACGCAGGCGAAAATATTTTTTTTTTATTGCCCTATAGACAGACGAGCATACGGCCCATCTGATGGTGAGTGGTTACCGTCGCTCATGGACGTCAGCAATGCCAGGGGCAGAGCCAAGCCGCTGCCTACTGCCTACCGCTTAATATGAGGTGATGGTATTTTGTTACGATTGTGTTAAATTTCACAAAAAAATATGGTTTTGAAACAAAGTGCAGCGTGTATAGGAAGGTTCCTCAACGACTATGCGAACATAGAAAGCAATAGCAGCAGCAAGAACTATTATTAATTTTCTAAACATATTTAATAACATAAATTACTTACTCAATAAAACTTATTGTTCACTTATCAATATGCTTAGAGACTGTCATATTATACATTAATTTTAAGAATTTTCCCGTAAGTAACATTGGTGTGTATAATTTTGATGTACGAACATACCTTCGCGGCTTCCATTTGTTCCTTTTGCCCTGCGTAGAACTTCTTAAGCTCCTCTTGATTCATACCCTTGTACATGAACCCAATCGCTCTGTCGAATACACATATTTATTCACCTCTATGATTTTCTACGATGGCGTAGTTAATGCCAGAGACATTGAACAGATTCCAAACTATACCTATCAAAGTAGGCCCTAAAATGCCAGTATTGTAAAAAAAATACAGTGTACCTATCTAGGTAGGTCCGAACAAAATGGTTGGCGAGTTCACTGCGCCCAGACTAAAAGAAACTGCTAATGTCTGGTCCAGCAAGAGGAGTGCTTTGCTGAATCTACCACCGGATCGGAATAGCGAGCCACCGAGAAGATTTGGCGAGAAACTCAGTGGGAATTATAGGTACAACGTGAACGCAGCCTTCCTTGACCCAGATAGTGGAATCGAAGTATTTAATCGAAATGACGGTTACCCTATTCTCCAAACAAAAATATTAAACAATGGATACCATAGACATACTAATGTGAATGGCGCTGTGTATCTTGTCAGTCGTGATGACAAAGTTTTGATTGTTATGTGAAACGGTTATCTCATCTATTAAGCCGCTTTGCAGCAAGAAGCTGGGTTGTTTTGAAGCTAAAGCTTTGAACTGTAACTTCTTACCTAACAGATTGGTATATTTTTATAGCTTTAAACATAGTCAGTACAGTATAAGTATGTTGTAAAAATATACTTCTTACCTGTTTTGTCCCAGTGCACTCTTGGCGACATCAGGGTTCTCGGTGAGCATGTCCGATGTAAGATTGTTGTACATCTCAGCAGTGTTGTCCGCCTCTTCCTGCTCTTTCATTATCTGCTCAATTTGTTTCTTTTCCGCCGCCTGAAAATATAATTTCTAGGTTATTTATTTTTCTCTAACCAATCATTGGTAGTGAAAGGGGCTATTCAAATTACTCGCGGACCCAAATTTCAAGTGCTTTTACGAATTCAATTCGTTACGTTTCCTATCTATTTAATTAGAAAGTATTATTTTTTTATTGTTTAGATGGGTGGACGAGCTCACAGCCCAACGGGTGTTAAGTGGTTACTTATAAATGCGCCACCCACCTTGAGATATAAGTTCTAAGGTCTCAAGTATAGTTACAACGGCTGCCCCACCCTTCAAACCGAAACGCATTACTGTTTCACGGCAGAAATAGGAATTAAACATGTTCACGAAATTCTGTCATTCCAAATATGTTTTTATTGTTTCTGTTCATAGCGAAGAAATTCGTGTGTAAAAGTTTGTGAATCTTACATGGTAAAATAGTCTATTTCGGGAATTTCATTTATCAGATGACTGTTGCGTGGAATAATCTGCTTTGTAGCAGAGATATCCTAGATGTTAGTACATACTCATTTATGTGCTTTTTTAGGGTACCTTGCCATTACGCTATTACTAAGATCGCTTCGATGATCAAATACACTTACGACCAGATCATTGTATGTACCATAAGGTCAGGCATGTAGAGAAGACATTTTATCTTTAGGATCTAGATGCTTATTTATGTATTTATTTCATGAACGTACTCACAGCCCGCTGTTGTTAAATGGTTACCAACTATATTGAGATGTGAAAATTTTAAAAAGTTTAATTATAAACAAAACAAGGTGACTTACCAAAGCTTCATTGTACCGCAAATTGGCTTGCCCGAGTCTGTAGCGACATTCTCGCTCAAGCTTGTCAAGCTCACTGGCTCTTAGGTCGCGAGCTTTTATAGCCATCTGTCGAGAAGTTTTATTTATCATTGCTGTGCGTCAAACTTCTTTGATTGTTGTAAAGCCCATGTGGTACCACCAACGCCCCTATTTGGCCGCAAAACTATTGCGCGTACCGGTTTATTCCTTATTGTTTAGATTGGTTAATGAGCTGATGACCTAACTGATGTTAAATCGTTACTGGAGCCCATAAACATCTACAACGTAAATGCGCCACCCACCTTGAGATATAAGTTCTAAGGTCTCCGTATAGTTACAACGGCTGCCCCGCCGGTCAAACCGAAACGCATTACTGCTTCACGGCAAAAATAGATAGGATGGTGGTACCTACGCGTGCGTACTCACAAGAGGTCCTGCCACCAGACTAATGTCGACAAATAATACATTAGTCATCGGTGACCACGAAAACTGTATTCGTAAATTAAAATGATGACAATGCAAAACTCGAACTTGAATTGTAAAAGTGATTTTAATTGCATCGCATTGTACTTGTAAACAAGCCACCCACGATGTGCCTTATTTAACTTATCCTTGGGGTCTCGACATTTATAACCTAATCGGGTTTTCGTGAGTCGCAGTCACAATTAAATGACTTAATTAATTCGTAGTACATGACCATGAAAACTGTTAGAATTGTTGGAAAGAAAATTAGAATGTGAAAATTAGAAATGCGAGATTAAAATAAAACAAAAAAAGTTTAATTTAGATATAAACTCTAAAAAATAATACTATATCAGTTTCTAAAGAAAATTTATGCTAAAAATCACCGAATATTTGTAGTTAATAAGCTCATAAATCACGGTAATGGATTTTTAATTCTGAAAAGGTTGGAAGTATCAACATTTTAAAAATAGACTTTTATATTAAGGAATTAATTTACGTATCAGCTTTTTAAAGTATTATAGCAGTTACATACACGCCCTTTATGCTTCGATTTTCGATAATCAAATATTGATGACGTAAAAATAAAAAGCTTCGTGTACATATACATATAACCTAAATAGGCAAAGACAAAATGGTTACGTAAAATTCTCCTCTGTCTGTCGATCGAACATAGCATTATTATAAAAAAATATTAATTGAACGTTTTTATTTCAAACGTCAATAATAAAACCAAAAAAAATGTAATAGGTAAAATAAATCTAAATCTTGGGTTGTCGGTGATTATGTTTGGGTGAATACAATAATTTTATTATGTTGCTGAGATAGCTGTGTTCTTAGTACGAGATTTTTAAAGTTCTCGATAGCGTTAAAGTTAACTAAAATTTGTATGGAGTTGGAACGTATGCCTACGTGTGCCGCTAGGGGCGCTGCTCCCACTGCATAAAAATTTGACTTAACTTTAACGTTATCGAAGACGTTAAAAAACTCGCACTGAGCACAGTCAATGAGTTTACCGCCGATTTGGTGTTGAGTGGCAACCGGAGTTCAAGGTAACAGCAGGTAACAGCCGTAGCCCATTCAAAGACGTAAGGTCCAATTTTCCCTGAGACATAAAGTCCAATTTTCAATTGTGTTGTGGTGCCTACCTTTGCCGAATTACAAGACCCCTCACCACCAATGATACCCCACATTTACTATATACCATAGCGGTCGGGGAACTTTTTTAATTGTTACCCCAAAATATTTTTGTGTAAGTTGATATTACCCCATGGCGGAGAACAAGAAAAAATCTTTTTAGCATCTTTCATAATATAGCCCCCCTGATAATTTTGAAAAGAAAACAATAACTAAAAATTTAACGATTCTAAAGAAATTTCACTTCATTATATACTTTTTACTCACAAAACTTTCATTTTTACCCCCCACAATTTCATTTTACCCCATTTGGGGTAATTTACCCGGGTTCCCCGACCGCTTGCTCACCATATATGCTGCTTCGGCTTTTTTGCGTTCTTCCTCGGCGCCCTTCCGTTCTTGGACCTGCTGTTCGAGCCAGGCGTTCTTCTGGGCCGCCATCAGCTTCTTCCGTTCTTCGTAATTTAAATCTTCACCTTCGAATCTATGGACCGTGAAATACGCATTGATTTAACAACTCACTCTCTCTTTTTTTTTTGTTCTTTCTTTTCTACCTAGAGGCTATTTCAGCCTTCACCCTAGCGTGTAGGTGAGCTCTGGGGGCTCAAACCGGAAGTGTTGTTAACACTGGTCCTAGCAATACCAGAATCTACCACCGGATCGGCAACGCGAGCCACTGAGAAGATCCGGCGAGAAACTCAGTGGGCTGTGTCTATGGGTTACTTTACTCGTCGAACCCTAGGTGCTTGAGGTACCTAAAAGCACCGTTAATGGATCGGGAGGATCCGTAATGAGGTGCTGCCAGTATACGAGTTTAGTCGTATCATGTTTGGATTAAAATCCCTGATCCGAAAACGAATCGTAACTTGTATGGACTATCTCATATGATCTCATATTAACACGACATGAACAAGGCATACTACTGATGCTAAAAATCACACTTTCATGTCACATACACACGCAAACGGTTCATACTTTTGTGCACTGGACATTCCGACAGGATCACCATCGGAAGCTCTCGGAGGCAGCTGCTTCTTAAGAACGTCGGGGTCGTTCAGGTCAAACTCGCGTCGATCCTCGGTTCGTTGATAATTCTGACGGTACTTGTCAATTTCCAAGCCGATACGACGACGTTCCTGCGATAACCATTATGATTATCACTACATAGTATAAAACAAAGTCGCTTTCTCTGTCCCTATATCCCTATGTATACTTAAATCTACTACGCAACGGATTTTGATGCGGTTTTTTTAAATAGATAGAGTGATTGAAGAGGAAGGTTTATATGTATAATAACATCCATTAAATAGTGGAGAAATCAATAATAAATTACAGTTTCCGAAGCGAAGTGAGGGCGGGTTGCTAGTGAAATATAGCTCTTAAACCATTTCGTCTCCAACCCGCAAATTTAATTAAGTACTGACTACCGTCAAATTGTTATATCGTAGGGGAACGAGTCGTCGTGGCCTAATGAATAAGTCGTCTGTTGTAGTCACATTGAGCGATGCGGCTGTGCCGGTGTTCGAATCCCGCAGACGGGTACCAATTCTAATGATATACTTAACACATACTCACAAACGACTTCCACGATGAAGGAATAATATCGGGTAATAAAAATGAAAGCAACCGATACATTAATTTGGATTATTACAATACAATTGACACATGTTCATATCAAATATAAAGTGTTTGGTGGCGGCATACGCCGTGTGTATAGGCTGCGTTGACCACTTAATGCCAGGTGAACCGTGAGTTCTTTCACACGTCTAAACAATTAAAAGAAATGTATCCTATTTCTGTCAAAAAGCAGCAAGAAGAGAGATACAATCATCTCTACTATACAAAACTCGGCATCATTCTATGCTAATTAATATACTAAAACAAAGCTCTTAAAAAGAAGGTTAAACAACAAACAATCCACTGCTTTCTATTTCATTCTCAGCAATCATAAGCGCCGCTATGAAAATTAAGACAGATTATTCAAATTCCATTGCGTTGTCAAAAGCGGAATCCTTGTTGGGTCTCCGGTTTGTTTCACGAGTACTCGAGATCACCATTAACCCACAGACATAGCCCACTGAGTTTCTCGTCGGATCTTCTCAGTGGGCCGCGTTTCCGATTCGATGGTAGATTCTGCGAAGCACTGCTCTTGCAGGGCCAGTGTTAGCATCACTCCGGTTTGAGCCCCGTGAGCTCACCTACATGTAGGGTGAAGCTGAATTTTTTTTTTTATTGCTTAGGTTGATGGACGAGCTCACAGCTCACCTGGTGTTAAGTGGTTACTGGAGCCCATAGACATCTACAACGTAAATGCGCCACCCACCTCGAGAGATAAGTTCTAAGGTCTCAGTATAGTTACAACAGCTACCCCCACCCTTCGAACCGAAACGCATTACTGCTTTACGGCGGAAATAGGCGGGGTGGTGGTACCTACCTGTGTGGACTCCCAAGAGGTCCTACCACCAGCGATTACGCAAATTATAATTTTTGCGGGTTTGATTTTTATTACACGATGTTATTCCTTCACCGTGGAAGTCAATAGTGTATATTTGTTGAGTACGTATTTCATTAGAAAAGTTGGTACCCGCCTGCGGGATTCGAACACCGGTGCATCGCTACATACGAATGCACCGGACGTCTTATCCTTTAGGCCACGACGACTTCGACTTCCTCTCAAGGCTATAAATGATAATTGCTAACGAATTTAACTCACTTCTCTCTGTCTGGCTTCTAAGACCGCGGCCAGGTTACTGTCTTTGATCATCTGCTGTGCAAAGGCCAGTTCCCGTCTCTGCTGTTCCTCTCGCTCTGATCTCTTCTCTTGGACCTGACGCTCGAGGAACGGAACATCTACCTGCAGATTAAATGTTACGACGATAAACCTTAAAAAATTAACTTACAGTACCCGGCAATAAATGTTGCACATCGACCGCGGGAAAGAGACGGTTAATTTTTGCTTTGTAGAGCGTTATATCTGTCGCGCATTACCTAATTGACATTTAATCTTCATAGATACGTGATCGTTGGTGTTTCATCGCACACAGGCAAAGCTCTACAACAATAACAAAATTAGACGACTGTCTCTTTCTAAATATCGATGTGCAATATTTATTACTGTACACGTTGATTTTAAAATCAATGACATTGTGTTTGTCACGAAAACTGATAAACGATGTAGTTTTCTTGGTGTTGAGTATGGACACACTCTTCGTCGGTTCTCCAAAAAGGTCAATAAATCAACAACCATTTTCGAAATGCAGCAGGAATTGGATAATCTGCAATTCGGGCTGAGTGGCTTGTATTGATAGCAGTCTTCGGCGCTAAATGTTTTATAATGATGGTATCTAAGATTGCCGACTAAGAGCTAATCTGTTAATTATCAGAAAAGTGTTAGGCATTCATTCATTTAAATTCAATTTATTTGGCTCAAAAGTCCTAAGGTCGTAATTTTTTTGCTCTTTACGATCTAAACCTACCACAGTACTCTAAACCATCGCCTTTATGACTGGTAGAGACTGCCTTAGGCACTTAAGTCCGCTACTGTACACTTGTGCATAAAATTAAATGAATGCCAAGTACCTTAATAATCTAATAAATTGTGTTATATTGTATTACTATTCATTATTACTAATCTGTTATTTTCTCCTACAATGATTCAAGAATTATTGCAAGAATTGAAAATAACGCTAAATTATCCAAATACCTAAAGCGATTTAACAATTTACCATGTCACCAAGCACTACCATATCAGCCTCTATCGAAGTAAATTTTGATTTGATTTCTTACACCAATTTTCCTGTTTCGCGCATTGAAGATCCTATTTCTCCTTTCTAGTTCACACTGTCTCCTCCTCTCTCTATTCTGTGCTTCTTTTCTGTCCTGTTCGTTGGCTATTTGTAATTTCAGCATTTTTTTCTTCTTCTAAATCCGTTCCGATATCACTAACGTCCGTCTGTCCGTATTAGTGGTCCGTTCTCTCCCAAACAAATTAAGTATCACCTACGTTCCCAAATTCTGTATCGAACAAATAATAAAACATAAGCGTTGTCATGGAAACCGAGAAGGACAGAAAGAAGGTCGGTAAGGAAAAGCGGGTCTTCCAATGTTTTGTTAAAATATATATTCGAAACCTTCTTCAGTTTAATTTATTTTATTGTAACTCAAATCCGAGGTTGAAGCGTGAACCGTGTAATAAAATATGGTTCAATTGAGATAGCATTATATAATTATATTCATGTGTAAATAATATCAAAAATCTTATTACTTAGTGAAAAAGTACTATTCTAGATTTCGTATTTCTTAAAATTATTTATTGTATTTTTATTAAATTAATCTAATCAATTAGTAATTTCAAGATCTTGTCCACTATTGCACTGTCAATTGCACATATAATTGAGGTGACATCTATCATGTACTTATCGACAATTTGTCAAAGTTTTGTATTGATGATCACTTTGTTGGTGCAACTAAAAAATAAATAAATGACATATCTCTTAAAAGAAAGGAAATTAATTTCCCGTAATTGAGTTTTGAAATGAACAAAAGGATCAGGTCGTTGGCGCGTTGTTCTAAGCCGGGTATGCTGACGTCACAAATCAATGAAGCGATTGAATGTTAAATGACTAGTTTTTATTAGAGCTGGTGGGCAAACGAGTTTACTGTCCATTAGTTGGCAACTACCTTGAATTATCAGTTATGCTACAGTTCTAACTGTGAAGTTCTATTAGTACCTAATAGCCGGACTTTAGTATCTCTTTTAATCCCTGCCTTGGTATGTATGTAGTATGGCTTTTGAAGTCGTCGTGGCCTAAAGGATAAGACGTCCGGTGCAATTGTGTTGAAGCGATGCACCGGTGTGCGAACCCCAGGCGGGTACCAATTTTTCTACGATGAAATACGTACTCAACAAATGTTCACGATTGACTTACACGGTGAAGGAACAACATCTTGTAATAAAAATCAAACCCGCAAAATTATAATTTGCGTAATTACTGGTAGTAAGACCTCTTGTGAGTCCACACGGGTAGGTACCACCACCCCGCCTATTTCTGCCGTGAAGCAGTAATGCGTTTTGGCTTAAAGGGTAGAGCAGCCATTGTAACTATACTGAGATCTTAGAACTTATATCTCAAGGTGGGTGGCGGCATTTACGTTGTAGATGTCTATAGGCTCCGGTAACTACTTAACACCAGGCTGTGAGCTCGTCCACCCATCTATGCAATAAAAAAAAAGCTATTTCAGCTTCGCCTTAACGTGTGGGTGTGCTCACGGGGCTCAAACCGGAAGTGTTGCTAACACGAATCCTAACAAGAGCCGTGCTTCGCAGAATCTAACATTGGATCGGAAAAGCGACCCACTGAGAAGATCCGGCGAGAAACTCAGTGGGCTGTGTCTGTGGGTTAATTTACTCATCGCGCCCTTCGTCGCAAGCGACGGGTTCGACGAGGATGGTGACCGGAAAGTACCTAAACGTGATATTTAAGACATCGTATTGAGGAGTGGAATGCTATTTTTGATTTAAGTAACATTTCGCTTAACACATGACATTTATCATTGTAACTAAAGGTGCGTTTTATTTGGTATTAGCATCAACAATTCAATGTTTTTAATTGAACTTCAATTAAGCTTACTACATTCAAATAGCTAACATTTTTTTGTTATGACATTCTTTCCAAATTTTAAATTTCAAGTTGTTCTCCTGTAAAGTTGCAAAAATGTCTTTTAAACCTAATAGCCAAATTTCACCCCTCGATTTATTTGTTTACCTTTTTCAATTCCCTCTTCGATTTGGTATTTGGCGTTACATTTAAAGATACACATCAATAATGGAAAGTTGTAAAAGTGTCGTTACACGTCCTGACGGATCCATCAGATCCAATAACTCTTGCATTAGACGCCTTCAGCTCTAACACTAGGAGCAGTCTTAGAGACCCCGGTAACCGTACTCGTCGAACTCGGCAAAGAGTTCGACGTGCAACCTAACCTAAACACCAGCCCGCTGAGTTTCTCGCCGGATCTTCTCAGCGGGTCGCGATTCCGATCCGGTAGTAGATTCATTCGCGAAGCAGTTCCTCTTGAGTTGTTACGTCTTCTTCGGAGGCGCTCGGGCAGCTGTTAGCAAATCCCACCCCTCCTGGCTGAGCCTTTGCTCGACCACCTATATCATCAAGGTTAATCATGAATATAGCATACGATAAGTACGTATTTCATTAGAAAAAATGACACCTGCCTATAAGATTCGAACATCGCATTGCATTAAATAAATCTAATAACAACCGTAGTTGTTCGAGTCTAAAGGAAATGCAGTCACGTAACAATTTCCATTTAAATCTCAAACAAAAATCGATTCTCCGCAACCACATGCGCATGACAAATTGAATAGAACTAAACATAGATTATACACTTAATATATTCCAGGAACTAAAGAAGTAAATAGGTTAGAACATTTCGCGTTTTAATCGTATACGTTTTTTTTTTATGTTGGCAACCCGAAAATGCGGGAAGGGCGCCGATGTGCGGTCTTACGGTCACGAACTTCAAGTCACCGGCTCGGCGCGGCGTCCTGTTTGTATTCAATAATGTACCTACGTATTACTCGCTCTATGCCGCGGAGTGCGGAGCCACGCCGCTCGAACAAGGTTATCTCGCTCGGATTACTTCGTAGTTCAGATTCAGTCGTCGTCATTCGTTCGATTGCCGCGCGATACGTAGCACGTGCCCGTCACAACGCGATAAACGCGATAAACTAACGCACTATTTACGAAGAAACACTCGGTTGGTGAATTAGAAATTAAATAAAAAGAAAAACAAAAAAAAGCGTTCTGTGATTTCAGTGTACTATTTTTATTGCGCTGTGCTATGTGAATTATGACAAGTGTTTTGAAAAAGCCAAGAGGCACAAAAGGCAAATCGGAATCCATGCAAGAAGACTTACCCACAAGATGGGGGTCGATCTCCCGTGAGGAAAAATACGAAGACAAGGAGAAGTTGATCAGAGCCATCGACGACAATGTTATTGGCAAAGGCAATTCGTTTTGTGGGCCCTACGGAAGGAGGAAAGGTAAGATGAAAATTTAAAATATAATTTTTGCTATCTTTTTTTTCAAGGACCTTAATAAATCTGGCATGGCAACACTTTGTTTTCAACTCTAAATTATCTCTGCAAATGATGTTATGCAAAATTATTATGGAAAAAAATACGGTTTTGTTTTTATGGATGTTTGAAGTTATATCAACATTAAAAGTTGTGATAGCAAAAATGAGTGCAGGTGTCCTTATTCTTTTCACAATAATTTATTTATTTTATTTTAGTGCTGGGGTTTAATTTAGTAAACTTAGTTTTATTGCTATTAATGCATCTGCTTTTTTTTGAAAAAAATCTAGATGAAAAACGAACTTTTAAATGAATAAGTATTATACAATAACAATAATCAGTATCAGCAGCGAGAGATCCGACCTCATTACGCGCTCAAAAACAAGTAAGAAGTCCGTTACGTTTAAAAAAAAAAGGAATGTCAAACTCAAAAATGCGCCTGCGATTTTCCCCATTATCACTGTTCACGATTAGAGTTATGTAAAAAAATAAAACAGACACGAAGCCACATGTTATTTTTGTTATTTAACACACATGCGTATCAACTCGTTAACTGTTCAAAACGATCAAGGTTAACATATTTAAATATTTTCGCAACGCGTTCGGCGGCCATTAATCTATTCTCGTCTGTCAGTGTGTTGATATAAAATGAGCATTTGTGTTTGACTGGTTAAAAAGCGTTTTTAATTCGAGACGCGATTCTGAGATCTCTTGTTTGGTGATCATGGTTGTTGACCGGGCAATGATGGTATTGGATGTTGATTTGGCTATCTCGATTTCGTTGCGCCGTTTTGTGCGTTAGATTAGATTAGGAACTCGTGGCTTTGAATTATTAGAAGAGACTGGTATAAATGATGAAAACGTAACCTTGTCTTTTATTTAAATTATAGATTCGATTATCCCAAGCCAAATATTTGTTAAGACGGTTGATGTATGGCAAGCGGTCACCAAATATTTGCAAATGAAACTAGAACAATAAGATTACAATAAATAAGTTTTACCGGTGATAGAAAGTTTTGTGAGTCCGCGGCGGCAGGTACCACCACTTTGCTTATTTCTGCCGTGAAGCAGTAATGAGTTTCGGTTTGAAGGGTGGATCAGTCGTTGTATTGTAAATCTGAGACATTAGAATTCATTTCTCAAGGTGGGTGGCGGCATTTATGTTGTAGATGTCTATGGGCTCCGATAACCACTTAACACCAGATGGGACGTGAACTTGTGCACCCATCTAAGCAATAAAAAAGGTAGCCTAATGGGCCTAAACAATTAAGCCCTTTCATAAAAACATCTTCCCATGTTTGGAATCCATGGAAATTGGAACTGTGTATCAGATATTTAGCTAATAAGTTTTTGAAGTGAAACGATATAAATGCCCCGTCAGTTTTTAGTTTTACCTCTTCATTGCTCCAATTTCGGATGAAACACGAAAAGTTTGCTTTGAGCTTATACGAGTAATATCGAAGCGTTTATACTCCGATTTGTAAATGAGTCGTCTATTATCAAAGGTGGCAATCTGTGCATTTGGACAAAAATTTTTTATTGATATGTCAATACAGATTGATTTGAATATAATCGTCTCCTTCAAAGAATAGGGTTCAAAACCTGCATTAAATAAAGGTTAATAGTTAACCTGTTATTTATCTAAGATGTCGTTCCGAAGAGTTTTGTGACTGCCAATGAAATACAAAGTCAATAATTCGTTTTTCTGATTTACCAATCATTGTCCAAAAGTCAGATTGCCGGCTTTGATAATAGTCGACTCAAATGTCCCTTTAGTGACCAAAACTCAAGCAATCTCATTCATCAAATCTTTTCTATTCATATAAAATAGTTTTTTGCTCTGTTAATTTATATTTTATAGTTATCAATTATGATTGCGATCGTGAATTATATAATAAAGCGCGGACTAAGTCTATGTTTAGCAAAACATTCTTGTCGCAAAAGAAACGGGCGCCAAAATAGTGTTTGCATGTTGGCAGCGTCCTTCGTTCGTTTGGCTCGGCCAATTACGGCCTATCAGTATGAATGATGTCAATACTTTGATATTAGTATCAATGGCAGTTTATTTTCTCGTATCTTTTGGACTTTGTTGATGAACGTCAGCGTAATCTTATGGCTAAGGTGAGTACCTACTATGTATTATTTCGGTATGTAAGTATGTAATTTAATACTATACGTACGTACATTGTAGGAATTTACTGATGGTAGGACGTCTTGTGAGTCCGCACGGGTAGGTACCACCACCCTGCCTACTTCTGCCGTGAAGCATTGGTGCGTTTCGCTTTGAAGGGTGGGGCAGCCGTTGTAACTATACTGAGACCTTAGAACTTATATCCCATGGTGGGTGGCGCGTTTACTTTGTGGGTGTCTATGGGCTCCAGTAACCTGTTATCATCAGGTGGGTTGCGGGCTGGTCCACCCATATAAGCAAAAATATATAATATTGTTAGACTTACTTCACGGAAATATATCTGCCATATATTTCTCAGTGTTTCCTTATATGAAAACGGTTGTCCGGAAAATATTGGTTTTAACTTTAAGATCGTCTACCGTACATAATGCACCTGTCCATTGACTGATTTCAATGGTACCTACTCATCATAAAGTAAACTCTCTCTCACAATATCTCAAACTGAACCGATTTGTTTTATTCTTCCTTGATTTAAATTGTTCTTCTCCACTTGAAGCCGTATTGGTATCGAGATAAATAATTTACATTAATTTTCACGCGTGCATTTTTCAGTTCAAGTTCATTGACCGAAACCGCGTAGATTTTGCACGGACATTTAATGTACCTACATCTTCGTTGTGCTGTTGTGTTTTTTTTTGTACGAATGATTCTAGACAGATACCACGCCCCCGTCGACTATACATTCAATCGTACCATTTTCCTCTATATAGTTTACTAGCGGCCCACTCCGGCTCCGCTCGGGTCTTTAACGAAAATTTCAACGATATTTGAAGTTGTTTTATTATTTTAAATAAAATAACACTTATTGCGGTATATATGGTGTCGCGACGCTTTTTGTAAATAATAATGTGTTCTACAAAGTCGTAGTACATTATTTTATTCTATCATCAATAGTTTTCGCAGGGCACGCGATGTAAAGATATTTTAGGTAATTTTTTTACACTTTTCCCTAATTTTTTTCAAAAAAGATTACAGCCTATGTCACTCGGGAATAGTGTAGCTTCAAAACAGTGAAATAATATTTCAAATCGGTTCAGTAGTTTCGGAGCCTATTCAATACAAACAAACAAATCTTTCCTCTTTATAATATTAGTATAGAAGTATAGATAATCAGCGAAATTTCCGAAGAAAGGTCTACGTCCGAGAAACAGGTTCCACAAGATTGCCTGACGGAAACAAAAAATAGTACAAAAAGTATGAACGACAAACCTTTTTCGGCGGCCGGTTCACCTTTTAACGAATTTCTCAGCTGACTGGGAGAATTAACATTCCGAGGCCACTGTTTAGATATCATATTCAAAGCTTAAAAACAATAGGTTGCGTATCTATAAGTATATATTAATACGTGAAGGAAAAACTTTGTATCACTTTTTACGAAAATTGCGCGGACGGAGGAGTAAGAAATTTCCCACACGTATAGAGAATATAGAGAAGGAGTGCAGACTGTTAATATTTTTTTAAATTATTTCTAAAAAAAACATGAATACAATACAATACAATTCATACCATGTATTTGACGCACACACAACAATAAATAGTATACATGCGTATACTATTTATTTATTGTCAAACTTTTGTTCTTGACGTCTGTGGTCAAATTGAGAATAGATTAAATATTGTTTGTCTTTATTAATATTATTCTATAGTGTAGTCTTGGTGAAATTTGTGATTATAGAAATAATAGTATTTGAAAATAGAATCATAATAGTGTACAAACTTGGACCACTAGTTAATTTAAATGCATCAGCTGCCACGGAAATGTACCTACCGCCATATATGGAATAGTTATCGCATGCGTGTATGCGCCACGTTTTTTGTCACGTGTCAAACAATTAGTCACACACAAGCATAGTGCAACCGTTGTAATTGTTACACATCTTATTAATTAACTCCGTTTTAATGTACATAAACAATAGTAAAACTGTACTAGTGAAAATATAGTTGCAGCTTCTAAAACTGCAGTTTACAATGGTCCTGAATAAATTTGAATTAAAATTGAGGTCGTTAGCACTAGTCTGTGTTCGTGTTTCATTCCCAATACGGACTGTATATTTAAGAAAAAAAAAGAGAATACAATTACAATTGTTTATTTGAGATGTATCAATTAATTTCATTGCACAAATTTAAGTAATAACATGCCAAAGTAATAACATATCTGATAAGCTGCTAATCGCGTTTTGGCTAATATTTTTCATTGGACAAGACACCTGATAAACTCTTGTGTGCATTGTCTGTAAATAGTTGATCATCGTGCCCTTAATGTGTGCATCTTTGCTATCATATTACGGATGGAAGCGCATCATCCAATCCAGGAATTGAGTGAATTTTATTAAGAATTTCAAAGTTGCGTATATACTTTTTGCCAACAGATCAATTTACGATACACAAATGAATTTAATTTATGCAGATCTAACATTATATGACGCAGATACGAAGACGGCAAGTGAGCTGATTATATGTAGGTACATTTAATTAAATATAACAGGTTTAAGGCTTTAGAAAATCTTTTGATAAAGATAATAATTTATTATGTTACGATTATAGTCTGTGTGCTTAGTGCGAGTTTTTTAACGTTCTCGATAGCGTAAAAGTTAACTCAAATTTGTATGGAATTCGAACTTTTGCCTACGTTTGTCGCTAGGGGCGCTGTTCCAACTCCATACAAATTTGAGTTAACTTTTACTCTATCGAGAACGTTAAAAAACTCGCACTAAGCACACTGCCTCGTTTTTGTATGCTCAACTACTTCATCAAAATTATTGTGATGGTTTTTGTG